TTTCATAGGTTTAATGAACAACCTAGCTGGAATTAATTATTATTATTTTTGTATTGTAAAAAATTATTAAAAGTAGTATAAAGTATAGTTAATTATTAATTATTTAAAAGGTTAAAATATAAAATAACCATTTACTCTTATGTGCTTTTATTGTTTAACTTTCGCTTAACAAAGCCTGTGCATCGCATTGGTCCCTGTTAGGTACAACTTGAACATATTGGGTTGGGTTAAGGGTCAATCCAATCCTAAGTCTCAAAAGGGTCAATCCAATCCTAAGCCTCAAACCTCAAGCTCAAGCTTGATCCAATTCGAGGTTAAGCCCGAGTTTACCAACCTAGGCCCAACTTAACCTACCCTACCCGGTGGGTATCCACTCCTACCACCTTGATAGGGTAGGTTTTTTTGTTTGAAGGATGGGTTTTGGGGCAAGTCAGGCTTGGGGATTTTACAACCCGTATGTTACGGGTAGGGTACAGTATTAGGCTAAACCCGACCCCCTCAACCTGCATATTGTTGGAAAGTATATAAACTTTATGTATTGGGTGTTGAACTTAATAATATTTTGAATCAGATGTAAAGGATAATTGATAGTTTATGTGTTCTTTTACATCTTAATCAAATAATTGAAAATTTTGTTATTTATTTATGTTATTTTACTCATTTATTGCTTTTATATAACAAGAAATAATAGGAAATTAGATGATAGTTTTAAACCCAACCCACTCCTACCCTTGAATACGGGGAGTGTTTTGCATTTTTATGTGGGGGGGGGGGGAGGGTTTGGATTCTCAAAATCCAACCCGCTAGGTGGGTAGAGTCTAGAATTTACAAAATCCTCCCTGAACCCACTTTGTTGTCATCCTTACTTAGGCTAGGCTTGGGCTTAGACATATTGAGCTTTGTAACTCAATTTCCAAATAGAATATGTTGATAATATACAGATATATCATAAAATGTTGGGCAAGCTTAAACTGTATCGGACCAATATCTGATACCTCAACCTAAGCCCAATCTAAATTTAGTTTAGGCCCAATTTTTTTTTTTTGGTCAAGCCCATCTTAAAGTTCAAAAGCTTAAACCTAACTTTTGATTGAATTGAGTTGGACTTGATTTGTTTTTGTTGACCAGCCACACATCTCCTTTTTGGACAATCTTCCTTCCAACTAGGATGCTTTTTCATCCTCGGGAGCCAGAGGAGGGGATGCCATCCCTTTGGAATTTTTTTTTATTTTTAATGTATTCCCTTTTATTATTTGGGCCCACGAGCTATTTTCACATGAAACGATTCTCCATGCAAGCTATGCAAGGTTAAAACAATAGAGGTCCCTAAAGCCTAAACCCCCATCAAGTTTTTTTCTTGTAATTGTGTTCCAATCCACTCAATGAATTTTGCTTCTATTACTTCATTCTTGCCCCACCATAACGTTCTTTGAAGTTTATTTATTTCTCCACAGCTTTTTTTTTGGGATTAGGAAACATGACATAGCGTAAGCTGGAATAGCTGCTACCACGAATTTCAACAAAATGTCCTTCCCTACTTGGCTTAGGTACTTCTCATTCCAAGCATTCATTTTGCTCCGAACTCTCTCCACCAGTTGAGAAAAATATTTGCTTTGGTTCTACTAAAAGAGGTAGGTTGTCCAATATATTTGGAGGGGCTCCTTACCAGCTTGACTTTGAGGCTCTTAACGATGATTGTCATGAATATTGGGGTGGGTTCTGGAGCTAAAAAAGACTACAGACTTCGTAAAATTCGCTTATTTACCAGAGGCCCTTTCATATCCAAGGATCAAAGTATTGACATGTATCGGCCGATATGTATCATTTCGGGACCCCTCCGATATGCCCCTACAGTGGGTGTATCGGGGGTCTGACCGGTTCAGGGGGTGGAGGAGCCCTAAATCGGCCCCCTGAACCGGTTACAAAAAAAAAAAAAAAAAACATAAAGCAGTATTGATTTTCCCAATACGCCCCTACCGACGTATCGATATTTTGAACCTTGTTCATATCTTTGAATGACTTCCACCACATGGGCTCCTTCCTAAAGAGAGACTCTTGTGAATATATAACTATCATCTACAAAAAATAGGTGAGAAATGATGGGGCAATGAGCATTTAATCTTATACTTGAGATTAAAGAGTTTTGGACCAGCCCATTTAAGTTTGTCAAAAAAACTTCATAGCACATGAGGAAAATATAAGGAAATAAAGGGTCCCCTTGACTGATTCCTCTTTCTGGGAATATTTTTTCTATGGAAGTACCATTGACTAAAATATGATAAGATACTGTGGATACACATTCCATCACCCATTGGACCCACCTTAGACCAAAACTCAATTTAAGGAGAACCCTCTAAATAAAATCCCACTCTAATATGTCATAAGCCTTGCTCATGTCAAGTTTAAGAGCCATCATGCCTTTTGAACTTTTAGATGTTTTCATGTGATGGATTAGTTCATGGGCTATGAGGATGTTGTCACTTATCACCCTTCCTAGAATGAAAGTACTTTGGTTTAGGCTGATGATAGAGTCAAGATAGGGCTTTAATCTATTTACTAACACTTTGGCAATGATCTTGTAGGTTGTATTACAGAGGCTAATAGGTCTAAAGTGGGCTGCACAATCTGGGTTCTTTACCCTAGGGACTAGAGTAATGTGGGTAGAGTTCAATTCTCTTAATAGGTGCCCGGATTGGAAAAAACCTTTTACCACATTGATTACATCTTCCTTAACTATTCTCCAATATTTTTGGTAGAAGAAATTATGAAGACCATCTGGCCTCAGAGCTTTCCTATAATCCATTTGAAATAAAGCAGATTCTATCTCTTCCTCATTTACATCTCTTTCTAGACCTCATATCTTTTGTAATAGTTTTGGTACAGGCTTCCACAACTCTGCTTATGTCAACATGTTGGGGCTTGCAGATTTGTAAATGTCTCCGAAATGATCCATTAGGACTGTCGAAATTCTGTCTTCCCCCTCTACCCAATTTCCTTCACCATCTTTAATTTTTTTTAATTATATTTTTAGCTCTTCGCTTTAAGGTGTGTAAGTGAAAAATTTTGGTATTTCTATCACCTAACTATACCCAATTCAGTCTTGACTTTTGAGCCTACAACATATCCTCCCTTTTTTGCCACAAATCCAATTGGTTTTCTAGATTTTCCACAGTTGTAGCAATGAAACTCTCATTTTTTGCATTCATCTCAGCTTCCAAGGCTTTCCTATAATCATTTATTTTAGAGTAGATACACCCAAAAACATCTTTGTTCCATTTTCTGAAACTCTGCCTTAAGACTCTGCATTTTTCTCTTAATTTATATTGACTATAGCATGAGAAAACCGAATTTCAATTGTCTTTAACAAAAGATTCACATTCACTATGGGTAGACCAGGCATTTACAAAACGAAAAGGTTTCCATCTCCTTGGGGATGGAACATTTGTGTCTAAAACCAGAGGGAAATGATCCGATCCTGGGGAAGGCCGAATCTGGACTCCTACATTATTGAAAGAGAGCCTCCAGCTTGCATTGGATATAACCAATCCAATTTTGCTCTAATATTGTGGTCCCCATGTCTTTTGTTTGACCAAGTAAAGATTGTCCCACTACTTTCCACTATCTCTAGCCCATGGAAGTTATAGTTTTTGAGAATAGTAGACCTTTTAACTGGCTTACCTCCCTCTTTGTTTGATGCATTGAAATACATGTTTAAATCCCCAGCACAAAACCACGATCCTTGGGAGAGATAAAAGAGATTCCCCCACTTCTCAAGGAAAAGATTCCTCAAGCTAGATTTTGGTTCTCCATAGAGAAAGGTGCAGAACCAGTCCCCATTTATATCATCCTGGATTTTAGTGTGTATGTAATAAGGATCAGCTGCAAGTATCGTAAACTTTATATCCTTTTCCCAAAAAAGGGCCAAACCTCCTTTTGTTCCTACAGAATGTACCCCCAACAATTCCGGTCCCAAAACCTCTGAAATCTTCTCCTGCGGTTTAGTAGGGAAGTATTCATTTCAATTAGGAAGTAGATATTTATTTTTTCCTCTTGAAGGGTCTTGAGACAATTTGGAATTGTCGAGGGAACTCCACCCTTTGACAATTCCACTGTATATTTTCATTGGCACCTTGGGGGCTATTGCGGGACAGTCTCACAAACCCACTTATTAAAGAACAGAGGGCAATAGCCAAGCTTCTTTTCTAACAATAAAAAAATACTAACATTTTCTTCAAGACTGAACATGACCGTACACATTTGTTTTCGGTAACGGGTCTTTTAGGTTTTATTCCATTTCGTCTGGCTCTACAAATTGCCTCTTTCCCCTTGAAAAGATGAGGATGCTCTACTCGAGTCTAGTCATTTTTAATTCTCTCCAAAGTCTCCTCGATCGGTTCGCCCATAGCTATATCTTCCGAAAGAACAGGGGTCCAAAGTATCCGTAATTTCCGGACCCAACATTGAGTTGAGTCCGGATTTGGGCCCAACTTCGTCCCATTCAATGCAATGGGTCTCACCCGAACTCAATCTTGCTCTATTGTTTTAACAAAACCCGTACAGATATCCCTACTAGTAAAATATTGAAGGCACGAATAGACAAAATTGAAGCATACATTCTCGGTTTGGAAAGATCGGGCTTGGATGGTATCCGGCCGGCCAACCGCCCAAGTATAGGCTAGACAATTAGACACTTCTCTTCTGAGCAGTTTCATATTGCGTCGCAGATCCAACAACCGTGGACGGTTTTGCGTGTCTGACTGAAAGACCCAGAGTCCTTCCAAGTGTCAACTTCCAAGCATTAGTTTTCCAAAGTTACAAGTCAAACGAATCGGTTACCTCTTTGAGAGCTGGGGTCGTGCGTCATTTCCAGGTATTAGAAGGGCATTTTATGTTATATATTAGCAGAATCTTCGTGTCCGAACCCGCCAACGAAAAAGCCGTGGAAAGCGAGAATTGAAGGTGAAAGGTTCAGGCTTCTTCCAGCGCGAAAGAGTATATTCTTTTCCTTTTATTTCTCTATTGTTCGTTTTTCACCGATGGAATTCTCCACTTTCTCCTCCGATATTTGTATTCGAAGAAAACCCTAATCGTGCGTTTTCTCATTTTCGCTATTTCACGCAAGCATTCTCGATCTCGCCGTGGAATTCTGCACGGTTTTTTTTTTTTCCTTTTTTGTATTTCCTTTGTATTTTCTTCTTTGGGATCTTTTTCTTATCAATTTTATTTTTCGGATTGTTCACGCTGAAAGGTAATTGACCAAAATGCTGATCAAGGTGTGCATGGTTCTCTTTGTTTTATTGATTTCTTGAGTTATGCTATTTCTATTGCATTGTTATTGGTTTAAATGATTTCTATCCTCCAAATTGTTTAATTTAGAGCTTTGGACGACAAAGAGTGATTCGTTTGAGTTGTTTTTGTGGAAGTAAGTTTATATTGAATGGAACTGTTTTCGAACCTGACTGGTTAGAGAGAAGTTTAATTGTTTAATTATAGACTGGTTCTTGGCCCATTGAATTGTTCTGAATATTATCACTATTTTCTTTCCTATTGTTTATTTTGGAGAATTATAAATAATATGGTGTAGTATGGAGGTTCGTGGTTCCTATCTATCTGCATCAACATAATACGCACTTAGGAGGGCTGGTCATTTAGTTGATAAGTCTCGCTAGATGGTACTTAGATTTCAACAACTAAACCAAAACCAATTGGGTTATTTATTGGTCCAGGTTTAAGGTTTTTGTTAATGCATATTTGTGTATTAAATTTTAATTTTGATCTTTCTGTTGTTCTGCAGGTATTCAGTCTCTGCATTGGAATTGCATTTCATGGAATTTCTTCTTCCTAACAGTTTGCTATTTTAGAGTTTAGTACTAATCAACACATAACATAACATGCGGAATAGTTGGTTCTTTTTCCTGGATCTCGATGGAGGATCTCCATACATCTACCCACCAGATCCCCTTGTTTATCAGAGTTTTGGGGGTCATTTGTTGTCCCAGATTAGTTCATTTGTTGACAATTCTCTCCATCAGTCGAGATACATATATTTCCCTGGAAGTTTAGTGCTTCAAGAAGCTTTTAACTGCTTTTCAAAATTTGCTGGAGCTTTACTTTTCTGGTGTTCAGCTGGATCAAACTCCAATATACATCGGAAAGTATCAGATAGTCCACATGGATCAAAACATAGAAGTTTTAAATCCTGTACACAAATCAAGCAAATCACTTCTTGTAGACATAATCTAGCAGGGCTGCACTCCAGTTCTAGATCAAGACCAGAATCTACTTTCCCATTGCTTTTTGATAGGATCGCGAATTCCACAATAAGCCAACTGTGCAATGAAGTTGAACAGCTTCAGCCCTTTCCTATGTTCATGCTAGCTGCTGCTTTGGTACCTCCGTTTGACAAAAGCTTGTAAGTCTTCTTGTAATCTAGGCATTTTTTTTTTCTGTCACAGCTTCCTTGTTATGGTTGGTAATTTTCTTTTCTTGAATAATCAGTACCCTTCCAAATGGATGAAGACGTGATGTTAGATATCAGTTCAAACCTTTTTTCTTTGCATACTACCATGTTGACTACTGATGAATGTATGCGGACATTCACTGAAACATATATTTATCTCTGTTTTCCATATCAATTCTTTCCTACTCTGACTTTGACTTCTTGTTCAAGATCCCCCAAGGTCCTGCATGTCCCTCTAGAGAATACTGATGTAGAAATCAGTGGACACTTGAATCAAAGATCCTGTGTGGATGAGCACCGGGGATGCACTGGCTATTCTTTTCTAGACATGGACTGGAGCAGGCATGCAGTTGAGCCAAGAACAGGCATTAAGTTCCCTACAATTTTAGATAACATTCTAGCTGGGGAAAAGAGATACAGTTTACCTCCGGAGGTTATTGTTCTGCCTCCCATCTTTTGACTTTCTACAAATTATTGATGTTTCCTTCTTGATGTGATAATAAAATAACTGTTGTTTAGATGTTCATTTTTTGTCAGTACCATGTAAAACAGTTGTGTGAACTGAAACATCATTTATTGGTTTATTTTGTAGTTTTTTTTGATACTTGTGCTTTCGAAAGTGTTCTTTCACTAGATTTTATGCTTTATTTGAGTCAGAAATTTATTTCCATTTTCTGCCCTAGCCATGAGGTCTGAGACATTGACTTGCAGCATTTTTTTTTTGAAGAGGTAAAGTAAAATTTCATTAATCAAGAAGAGATATACAATAAAACTGTTCACTGTACAAATGAACAACCTTAAGAGCCCTCAAAAAAATTAACCATCACACAAGAACCCGGCACATCTCCCTCCAAATGGACCACATGACTGCCAAAGGAATTGCATTCCACCATTTACTTGCAGCATATTGCCATCTATTATACTGAAAAATGACCAAGAGTGCAGATTGAAATTATACTACCAAGTAACAAGCTTTTATGGATTAGAAAACTTGAAGAACTTGATTGATAAACAGAAGTATACAAAATTTCAAACCTCAAATGTGCAATTTATGTAATTTAACAGTATAGGATTGCTCTCCCGTATTTTCATTTTTTCCAATACAATAACATCAGGAATCCATTTTTAGGTTGTTGTTTCCGCTTTCAAGTTTCACTGCCTCACCTGCATCAGGAGCTCTTGTCACCAATTATTTTTTTACTTTTACTATCTAATTCTTCTTTGATACAACCATTGCTATGCTACATCCAGCTTTTGTCTGTGACTGCAATATACCAACAGAACTCAGTTTATTTTGACATCCTATATTTCTTATATGCATGGATCTGCATTTTTACTTCACTGTTATTGTACAAATACCATGAATGCACTCCCATTTTTGTACTTTTTATAATACTCTTCTTTATTTAATAGATGTACTCAAGTCTTGTAATGTTTCTGCTAATAGGGTTTTATTATTAGCAATTTCTAATAATGAAATAGGATTCATATAGTTGATCATATAGTCAGGATAAGGCTTCATTGATTGATTGATTGTTCAACAATCAATACCTGATGGAAAAAGAAATTATTTGATTTTTCAATATGGATTACCATGTTTTTGAAGTTTATTATGGTATTGACAGGAGCAGTGCTAGAACACCAAGGAGATTGTCACTTCATTCCCTGTTAAAATTTTCATGACACAATATGCATCATATTGTCATAAATAAGCTTAATTTCCTAATTGTGAGTTGGATCAGGAGGGGTGCAGTGCGGATGTTAAACAATCATCCAGATATGGGGATTTGGGAGTTCATGATTCTATCTTTCTTTGATTACTGTTTACTGGAAACTAGTGCTTTTCTTTCTTTCTTCTTCTTCTTGTTTTTTTTTTTTTTGATAAAACTGGCCACTAATGTTTTACTTATCATTTCACATAAAAATTTGCCTGTTTTATGCAAATTTACCATTATCTGTATGAAACCCAGGACTGTAAATGGATTGAATCAAATTAGATATCCCTATATCTAAATTTGATTTGTTAAAATTTGGATTTGAATCAAATCTTATCTATTGAATTCAAGCTGGGCTCGGATTGAATTTGGAAATTGAATACCATTAATAAATTGAACTGAAAACAATCAAGCTATTATACTATTATCAAAATGAACTAAAACTGACTTCAATATTGTGTATCATGAATAAAATGACTTGAAAATAACTTTAATGATATTTGAACTATGACTTTGTACTAAGCATATAACATCACATCAACTTTAGCAATAGATGCATTTTAGTTTTATCTAAATATAAAGAATATATACTTAAATATTATTGGATCAGATCACAGGGAATAGGCTTGGGGTAAATCCATATTGGATCCACTTAAACAGATTGAATTTGGATTGTCTTAATCAGTTCGAATTTGAATATGGGCAAATGGATACCATTTGCAGTCCTAATGAAACTGGAATTTTTAAATGGTGACTCATGTAATAGACGGTGGATTTTATAAAGCTGTCACCATTTTACAGATGAAACATTTGCTGGTGGTCAATTCTTTCTTTTATTGCATCTATATTCTACCAATTTATTTTGTTTTCCTGGAGAGTTTTGAACATTATTATGCAACCTCCACATGTATTACAGGTCCTTGTTGGGACTGGTTCCAGAACAATGACAATTATCAAAATCAAATCTCTGAAGCTTTATGCATTTGGTTTATGTGAGTACTCTTGAGCTCTGCTTTGATGCTCTTAACTTCTAGTATTGCAATTTACTAATTTTTATACTGGATAACTGGAATAAGGGGTTTACATGATTTTTTTTTAAATTTTATTTAATTATGCAATAACATTTGTTCTCAAATTTCTGTAGAGACCAACTTACTGCATTCACTTGCAACTTTCAACCAAACTAGATTCATGGAAGTTGATCCATTCCTCCAATAATCAAATTATTCTTGCTTGCTTTTTCTTGTAGATGTTCACCCTGACTCTGTCTGTGAGGAGCTGGATCCAAAATATGCTTCCATGTCTGTCAGTGAATTGAACAACCAATCAGATTTTTTTGAGGATCTTCTCAGGTATTCTTCATACCTAAAGCACTTTTTGTTCACAATATAACTCATAGTAATTGCCTTTTCCAATTGATATCTAATCTCTATGGTTGTAAAATTTATAATTTGAGTCACTCCATACGTAACAAAGACTTCCCTTCCATGAAAGAAAAATCATATGCTAAATGTGCAGGTCTGCTTCTAACTTGATATGTGAAAGATTTTGATGAATAAAAAAAAAAGAAGAGATTGTTGGGATTAAGGCATGTAATTGCAATCCTTGATATACATATTCTGGTTTTGGGCCCATTGCACTTTTGATTAGTGGGGTGCATCTTTTTTTGATGAATATTAGTGGGTTACATCTTCTGCGACAGACAAAAGAAACCCCAGTAGTGAATAACCTTTTGTCAAGAATGGAGTTTACCTGAAGTGCTTTTTGGTCCATTTAAATGTCACAAAATTTGATTGAATGTTGAGAAGCCAGTTTTATTTTGAGAGCAGCCACTTTGTGCAAAAAATGCCAAAGGTTAGACTGTATCTAGTCCACCTCTTCCAGGACCCCAGATGGGTGGGACCAACATTGGGTAATGACCTTTACTTGCCAAAAAAACATTGGGTAATGACCTTATTTAGGAGTTGATGTTGATTAATGAGGCATGTTGCAATGCCTTTTTAATTATTAACAGTTCAAAACAAACTTTGTTAGAAAGAATCAGGAGAAACATTACAAAAGGCATCAAATGCTAGGCCTGGACCATCCAGCAGTTACAACAATCCATATACTCTGGAATTCAATACCAACCTCTCTCCCTCACTGATGCAGGAGCTGAAGAGTCAAAATTGGAATTTTTATGCATTTCTGTATTTTTGGACACCAGGGACATTTTTGTCACTTTACATTTTTCTGTAGGGTCCAATAATAGGGTTTGGTTGTCTATTTATAGTTTGTTTATGCTAGGCCTAGACCATCCAGCAGTTACAACAACCCATATACTCTGGAATTCAATACCAACCTCTCTCCCTCACTGATGCAGGAGCTGAAAAGTCAAAATTGGAATTTTGTGAAAATTTATGCATTTCTGTATTTTTGGACACCAGGGACATTTTTGTCACTTTACATTTTTCTGTGGGGTCCAATAATAGGGTTTGGTTGTCTATTTATAGTTTGTTTATGTTTAAAATTTCAGAGTCATTGAATTAGTAGGATTAGAGTTATTGAGTCTTCTTTGAATTGAAATATTGATTCTAACAGTTTGTCTTCTAGGATTATTACGAGTTTAGAGTTTATAATCATGTATGGACGTTTTACACAAAGAGCAATGAAGTTTATTGAGTTTTCTTCAGCTTATGCTAATTATGGTGAGCGATTCCCATACCCTAGAGTGATTATAGGCACCCTGTGAGTGATTATGGGTGTTTTCTCTCTTCTTTCTCTCCCTATTTTCTTTCTTATTCCTTCAAGAAGCCATTACAGTCATAAATTTCTGATCAAAGAAGACCATTCAACATTCTCTTAAGGACTAGAGTTGAACTGGTCTTGCATCACTCACCCAAGCAGGAGCCCATGGAAATCTATTGCAATGTTAATTTTGGAGAAAAAAAACAGAAGATACCTTTTCAGAGGCAAGGCATTCCAAAATTTTAAGATCTATTCTATAGGTTGTCATATTTTGATTATATGCAAATAGAGAATATCTTGTCATCACTTCAGCTACTTGAACATCTTTATCTTGTATATTTTTAACACTGTTACATCAAGGGGTGTTATACTCCATAGGCATAACAAAACCAGTCCTTATATATGATCATCTACAGGCAATTTCAATGAATAGTTGAACCAAGTAAAGGACTAATCACCTCTTTGACTTGGCTTTCCACCCCCATGGTTCTTTTTTAATAAATTAGTACTTGATGCCTGGAAGCATTCAAAGGCCTGAGAGCTAAGAATACTGCTGGTATATCTTATTCCGATATGAATAATGTTGTAGTGATTAAAGAGAAACTTATATACAGGTTATTTTCATATTTCTCAGTTCTATTTCTGAGGTGAGCCTTGTGATAAATGTTCTGAATATGCTCTAGCTTAGCTGTGGGTTGTATTGTACATCCTTGTATTATCCTGTATATTCTCAATATATACGTTCAATTAATGATAAAAGAATAACAAGAAAAAAAAGCTCTGATGATGCCATTTCACTTGTTTGCATGGTTGACACCAAGCTTCCTGAGTTCAGGGTATTGCTTGATAACATGCTTCTAGATTTTTACGAAACCATTAATAACTTGCAGAACATGTACAATCACTACTTTTCAGGCAGGTTCTGGGAGAGTCTTGGGTTCTTTGTGCATTGTCCACAAGAGTTGATTTTGATCTTCTCCTAACAAGGTTTCTGTGGGGATATTGCAGGAAGGATATTCATATGACTGTTAGGCTTGTGGTCAATTGTAATGGGCTGAAAATCAATACTGTTCGGGAGTAAGTTAGATTGCTTGCTCTAGTTATCTTTTGAAATCTCATACCTTATAATTAATTTCTATCTTGGTTTGGTACAAAATTATAGCGACCATAAATAAGAATTGATTTTTTTTTTGGGTATGGGCCTAGAATGCAAACCTAGAATGGATATGATCTGAAGTGAATACATCATCTGTCATTGTCATGAAGGATCCTAGCTAGCTTTATTAAAAAGAAATGAATCATGCAAAATTAATTTCTCATTTACATAGTACAAGAAGGGTTTAACCAATCGGTTGCCTAGTTAGTCTCTTTAGAAGTATGTACAAGTTGGTATTTGCCAGAACCTTCCAACCAACAGTGAAGATAAACTGGATCACTTGTTTGTATTCCAATTTCAAAGCAACTCTGGTCTTGATATATATTTAAGTCATGCACCAGTATAGTTGGGCTTGTTGTGGGCAACTGAGATCTACACAAACCCTTGAAAAAGCTATGGGGATTGAACTGTTTACAATATACATGTTTACTGATAAAAAAAAAGAGGCTCCTTTCCCATGTATATCATCAAAAAGGGACGTGACAATCTTGAGCAGTGGATCTCCTGATTCCTTCTGATTGGCAAGTTGCTTACACAGTAAGGGATTGAAATAATGGAAGTTAAGGCCCTGTTTGGATAGATTTCTACTTTTGTATTTTTAAAAATACCAAATCAAAGTCTATCCAAACATGGCCTAATATTCCTGCTCAGAGCAAAGTCTCTGTTAGCACTATCAATCACCTTGTTTTCCACATTCACAAATCAGGGTTAAAGATCCCTCTTTGTGAATTTAATTATAGATTCTATTGTCAAAATTTTATTTTGGGATATATTTAATTTCTTTCTTAATAATGTCTGCCAGCAAATCATTTCCATGAAGTCAGTCATGTCCCACTGCAGTTATGTATCCCAATGCTCCATGCTGATTCTGTATCAAGATAGTTGAAGAATCTTTCTCCAAATCATGCTTTTAAAATGAGCATTCAAATAACAAGTGTCCATGAGGCTTCAAGTACCTTCTACAGCATTATGCTTTATATTGGCCTAGTTATTCTACTTCTAGTGAGGTTAGCCTCTGCCTACAGTGAATCAGATGTTAACCCAATCAATTTTAGTTAGGATCAAGTCATTTCAATGATTTGTATTGAGCTGGGGAGTGATTAGGAGTCCTTAAATTAGGGAAACAAGTTTGCATAAGGTCCATATTGCTTCTGTGAAAGAGAATAGGAGTTGAAATAAAGCCCTGCCTTTGGCTTTCTTTTGTTTGGTTTTGATGCCAAATGATTAGGAGTCCTTAAATTAGAGAAGTCTGTATAAGGTCCATATTGCTGCTATGAAATAGGACAGGAGTTGAAATAAAGCCTTGCCTTTGGTTTTCTCTTGTTTGATTTTGATGCTAAATTTTCTTGATGGTGCTAATTTCTTCAAGAAGCTATTAGGTGATACTTCCTAGTAGTTCTCTAGATGTTATTCTTTGATTTTTGGCATTAAGTGGCCTCTCCCAGTCCCAATGTTAGGAAAGCTAACTTAAGGAACCCTGGAAATTGGATTATATACCTAATTTCTTTGGATAGGAATGCTTATGTTTTTTTTCTTGGTTGACTTGCATCTGGACACAGTTGACACAGTTTGAGTTGTAGTATAGTATATACAGACATGTTTCCAAATTGCAGATGGATTTAATCATGAACATGTCTGGGGAAATGATGTTTTCTTACTTATTACATTTTTCAGCTATTAACTTCTCTTATTTATCTGTTATTTTTCTGTTCTAGTGCTTTTGAGAAATCTCTCCAAGCTCGGTTGGTGAAGGTAAGTCTTTCTGTAAAGAGTTCAAGACTTATTTCCATCATTTCATTGACTTAGTAAATGGCTATTCACTGACAATTAGGTTTTATTTCCTAATTAGGTGAACCCCAACACTGATTATCGCTGCCTCAGAGCATTTGGTTCATATTTTTCTCAGGATATCCCATTACCTGCGGTAATCATTCATTTTGATATGCTTGATGCTTCATGTTCCCTTTCATTGAGAGCATGTTTTCATTTTGAACCCTATAATTTGCAGGGTACAACAATTGATTTTCGACAAACAGCAGATGGGTGGCTAATTACAGAAAGTGAGTAATTATAGAAGAGAAAATCTATGGTTATCATTTTATAACAAAAAGGGCCATTACTCGATGCTGATCCTGGCTATATCATAAGAGAGGTGGATTGGATATGAATTTTGAAGCAGAAATTCTCCACACATAATAGTAGGCTTCAGCCACTAGTGTTAATAAGAAGAGTAGAATAAGAAGCAATAATAATTTCTACTATAGCTGTTGACCATTGTAAAAACAGAAAATAACTCTTTGCTCATGCTTTAAACAGAACAAAAAAAACAAAAGAAGAGAATAGAAGGCTATGTTTACAAGACCTGTCAACACTCTTTTATAGACCAAAATGCAGCAATTCCCTACTTAGACTCTTTAACTCCTTGTGTTTAGACTAATAATAAAAAAGAAACTTCCTATTCAATTTAGGACACCTATATGACTCCACTGTTTCTACTCAAAACTAACTTAATCTAAGAAACTAGAAATTACTTAAAATATTAAGTCATGCTTTTACTATAAATGCTAGTCCTAAAGTTACTATAAGTGGTAATTTAATTTTTTTTACTAAGAATGATGAAGTCATAGAAAATTGAAACTTAGGCTGCGTTTGGAAACGATGCAAATGGAGTGTAAATCCCGGTTCAGGGTAAATTTGTACTCTGGTTCACTTTTGCCTGTGTTTGGCAACACTACATTTATGCATTGGCAAATGACAGACCAATGCATATTTACATTGATAATAAGATGTAAAAGTACGTAAATTTGCATTCAAGTGGGCTTTTGATAAATAAAAAACTTATGTTTTATTGAAATTCATGCTTACATCCATTACAGCTAAAAGTCTGTTTGGTAAGAAGGTAAATTTGTCAGTGCAAAACTAACCCAACTTTGCAATTTATATGAACGGTTTTACACTCCACATATTTGCATTCACACTTATTTGCATTGTTTCCAAACGCAGCCTTAACTCTATCCCTAAGAAACTGACAAACCAGAAAATGAATATGAAAAAAACTTAAATAATACTGATCCAAATCACCCAAAAAATACATAATTACCACTGGTTCAAGAATATGGAAAATCTTAATATTTACTTCCTTGTTTTCTTTCCTTTCTTCCATGTTTGCATGAGACCGAACTTAGGTGTTCCAATTACTTCTGTTAAAATGTTAGCATTGAAAGTTCAATGACATATTTCTTTGCTTGGTTGATGGAACAATATCTATTTTTGCAGTTGCTGGGAAACAGATTGGATCAGTTCATAGCAAGGACTTATGCAGTAAGCCAAAGCCAGAAATTTTACCTTCCTTTTTGTTTGTTTATTTTTACTTGTTACAGCAATAATGCTTTTGAAACCTCATGAACAAGTACAACTGTAGCCCCCAGGCTGGTTCAGGGTATAGATGGAGAAATGGGAAATGAAAAATGTGTCTTGTGTGTGTGTGTGTGGTCCTTTATAGGGCAACCTTTTTTAACCATTTTGACTGAGACTGAGTTTAAAATGAGGAAGCAAAAGATTGAACATCTCATCTTCCCTGGAGGCCACATCGGGATAAATAAAAATCCAACTTATCTTCGTGCAGGAGCTTTCTTCGACATGTACATTGGAGATGTTCCAGTTTCTGTAGAGGCGAAGGAAGAAATTGCTAGAAACATTGCTAGTATCATAAGACGATGTTGAGCTAAGCTACTCGTGGCCATTTTTTTGGTCCAATATTTGTTATCAATCAATTCAGTGCTGACATGGTGAGCCGTTGCATGCTTGCTTGCTGCCTACTTGTACTGAAGATTTGTTGCTCCTCCAGGCTCAGTTGTTACACGATACCAGGTGGGCAAGTAGCGAATAACAATCTTTTAATTTCCTAGCCCATGCCCATCTTGTAGGGGGACGTACACCACTACCAGCGGAGAGTGGAGTACGTTTAATGCAGTTCCAATAGCTCTCTTACTGGTGTCTGGAGTTTTGTGGACTGGCATCGTCTTGTGCCCCAGTCGATGTTTTTTTATTGGGCAGAAAGGATAATTGCTTCATTTTTTAATATTTTAATATTTTTGAAAGAAAGAGGGGGAGGGATTAACCTTTCAAGTTTCAACTACTTGAGTTGCAAACTCGCTATGTTTAACGATTGTGTAATTTTTCTTAAATGAGTAAAATGCCAATACATAATCAATTTCTGGACTGTAAGTGTTTCTCTGGTCATCCAATTGCTGAGTGTTTAACTGTGTCAACCGGTTGCTGCACTGGAGATGGTATGCCATTTCAACAAAAGCAAGGATAAGCATTCAATTATTTTTGCCTTGCTAACACAGCAAGGCAGGCCTCATTTACTTTTTAGTAATTTATTTATATGTTCTTTTATTTCTCAGGTAAATAAGACAATGATCATTTTAGTTATAAAAATTTATTATTAAATTGGGTATTTCTGTTCTATTTAAGTGTTGTAACTTTCTTTCAGGTGGAAAAGTTATTTATCCGTAGGAGGTGGGTATCACTTTCTGAAATAAAAAACATGGATTTTTTTGTCAATAGAAACTAAAATTCCATTAACTAAGTTTTTCCCCTTTCAAAATAAAAAAAAACCATCCCAAATGTGATACATTTCCAGCATTGTATCACCTGAAGTGGGGGTCAAAAATCAACGGGCCATTGAGGTCCTAAAGCCGTAAGGCATCTTGTTAATCAGAAAATAACATTGAGTGGTTTGTCTTGTAAGGGGTTTACTAAGTTGCTCACAATAACCCCAATGGGCAACTCATCTCTGATGGACTGGACCTGATTTTAGTTACTAACTAAATGCAATAGTATTTCTGGTAACGGTTGTCATCAGGAGTGCTTTACATCATAGACAAGTTTATCACATTACAGGTTTTAGAACTCCCAGATCGCAATATAAGCGAGGGTATTATATGCCGTAAGCCTCACAAACCAAAACTTTGGGGCTTGTGGCTCCGGCCTTACACTGTCAGTCCTCTTATCAGATATACGATATTTAAACACAGTAGTGGGAAACGATTGCGGTGGAGCTGGTAAATTGATGGATATTTACTATTAACCATCAACTGCTCAATGAACTGAATCATCATTATCATCGATTCACCGTCTCCATCGGCGTTCGGCGTTGTTTCTTTTCTTTTTTCATTTAGGCCAAGTATGCTGCAATACACAGATAGCTTGAAGCTTTAAACTATCGTCTTTTTCTGCTGTAGCATGTATCGGTTTAACACCAAATTTAAAGAGGGATTTCACTAATTAGACCTACTTTGATCACTAATAATAATCATTTAGGTTCACAGCCCCTCCGGCCTCACTTACGAGGAAAGTAATCCAAACTTCCTGTTTGAGTTGGCGGATTCTTCAACGAAAGTCAATAATTGAAGATTTTGATTTCTACTTTACAGTTTACACTAAGATGTTAAGAATAAAACTTAATGTTAGGTGTTTCCATTCTTCATGACAATAGCGGCTTTATTTATTCTAAAGTTTTCGATTTGGGCCGGTCATGGTGGAATCTTCTTTAGGTGGATAGTAGAGGCTGTTATTCACTCATTCGTGCCATAGAATTGATGGATTGGATTTATTTTTTGAACTTTTCATTGAGGATTGATTGAATGATTTTAAGCTCCTGAAAGAAGAATCTCTTCTTTAGAGGTTGAAAACATTTAATTAATCACACCTAATAGAGGATGCCACCAGGACCCTTTCTACAAAAGAGAACTTGTTTTACACTCATTTCTACTGTCTTTAGTAAGCCCACTTGAGAGGGCTTCCGTGGTGATTGAGCTTTCTTATAGAGCTGTTTATGAGAAGCTACCTACAATAGCTTCATTGGAAAGTTGATTTTTGGATTCATGTAAATTTATTTTCAGTTTTTCGGAGTTTTACCAAATAGGACTTTATGGCTTTCTTAGTTCTTTCTTTTTTTGGGCTTATACAACACAATGCCATAAACTACTGCATGAAACTCCTCCCAAGCTCATACTCAATTTAAAATTACGTTTCATGATAATATTTAAATTTTTTGGATTTTGAGAAGGGGGAAGTTAGGTAAATGAGATTTTGTTTCCTATTGACCAAGAAATTCATGCTTTTTTTTTTTCAAATTTATGAAGAATTTATTTTCGTTGGGTATCACCTAGATAAGTGATAGTGTAATACCCATCTCCCAGGTGGGCAATTAAATTTTTTACAGGAGGAAAAGTTACCAACACTTGAATGTGACAAAATTGTCCCTCTTAATTATGACTTTTTTATGACTAAAATAGTCATTATCTTATTTACTTAAAAAAAATAAAAGAATATAGGTAAATACACATTCAGATAAAATATTATTTAGAACAATACTTATCCGGATAGATACATTTTATTTGGGTAAAAATAACATACCACCTAAGAGACATGCACTAATCCTCGAAGTTAGGTATAAAAAATCAAAAGGCATTACACTAGTACATATATACGTAACAGGATTCATTATGGTGCACTATTTTTTGTTTATTGGGGAAGGCTTTCGGGTGGTCTTTTGGCTTGGAATAATAGGCATCACCTGGATAACATATAGACAATGTAATGTTTGGCGAAAAACCCGGAAGGCTCAAATATACTGCAAGTTGAATATGCCTTCTTGAAACTTTTTTAGTATCAACGGCTTCTGGCGTTGGAAGGTAGGCCTCATTCGGAAAGCCAGAAAGCTGTGTTTGGTGAAAACTCTATAAAGCCGGAGATTATTGTTATTGAGCCGATAATCAATTTTTCATTGAAGCTAGTTCTGATTAATGGAAGAATGACCAATCAGCCCAGATCATAATTTTATAGCCCCATAGCATAGGGGGAATGCATCTTGACTGTGAATTGATGCCAAATTCACAGGCATAATATGATTTATAGGGGGGAGAGGGTTAGTAGTAGGGGGGGACTGGAATTCAGAATTCTGCATCGGGTGTATCCGTACTTCTTGGTAATTTTTTTCAAGCCCCTCCGAAGCCCCTCAGTAAATGCAGATCAATCAAATGCAAACTGCAAAGTATTCCCAAATGTTCTCTTAGTGGCTTCTCCAAAGCATCTCAATCAAAAGCTTCGTGAGTACTCCAGATCCCACATCAATAAATTGGTTTTTAGAGCACTACCAGTTTGCGAGGCTTTCACTATTTCTTGCCACGGGTGCCAAGCTCCATCTCTGGGTGTTTATTTTTTAAAATTTCAATATTTAGAAAATAAAAAAGAAAAGGAAAATTTTTAATTTAGTACCAATTTTTAGGAATAGTGTCAAGTTAGTACCCGAACTTCAAAATGTGTTACTGCATATTCGAACTTTTGAAAACTGTCAATTTAGTAACCACGTTAAAAGTCCTTCAGTTAACTAATGTACGTGATATCACGTGTAATTTATAACATTCTGAAATTTCAAAATAACCCTTTTAAAGAAGACACTGTTCATTAAAACTGAAACTAAACTAGAGCAAGGGAATGATCAAGTGCTCTTCCGCAAGTTATCCAAAAAACACGTTACATACCTAAACGGAGCAAACGATAACAGCCCATGGCTCCACCACTAAGCAGCCAGACGTGATTACCTTGAACCCACCAAGCAACACATTGCACGCATTGGTAACGTTCTAGTGTCCTGAAATCAACATTTTCCCGAACAGAGTGGTCAGCACAGCTATGCAACCGGCCAAGGTCGTAGTCACTGCAGTCTGTCCGACGTTGCTCCATTGTCCGTAGTAGTTCCTGGATTTATATGCCTTCAAGATGGTTAAAAACGAAACCAAGTCAAACCCATACCAGCCGAACCACAGTAAGAAGATACCCAATACGAGCAAGGATGCGCTGTGACCACACAAAGCGACAGATTGACTGGCGTGATCAAACTAGACAATTCTAGGCTCCTCAATGAGAGCCCCCAAAGTCCAGCCATACCTCCAACCAAGTGAACCACACCTGATTCGGCGAAGTTGATGACTCCGGATCCGAACAATAAGTTATCGTTATGGGAGGCACTGGCCCAACTGCCAGCTGAGCAGAATCAGTGAGACACAACCGGGTACGTGAAACTTGTTAAGAAGGTTGAGTAAATGAGGTAAGCGACGAATTGGGATCTCTCCACTATACAGCTGCTGGTGATCCAGGCAGCAGCGATGACAAAAGCCCATTGACACAGGAAGTTATTGTAATTGAACAATTCTAACGGAACGCCTTCGTGTCGAAAAAGTGACGGCCGATGAAGTCGTTGGAAGTAGAACCAAAGGCACGGGCGAACCCAAAGAGATAGTAAACAGACCACTGGCAGCCGCGTGGAGCACATTGGTGAGTATTATGTTCATGGTGTTCTTGGCACAAATGAAGCTAGCGTAGAGCATGGCGAAGCCTAGTTGCATAGTGAAGACAAGGTAGGCCAAGAAGAGCAGGTAAGTGTTGTCAACGGCATGAGCTTCGTTGTGGAACAACTATTTTGCGAATTCGAATTAGCTAGCTGAACGCTTTGGCTGTTCGGTGGGCTGTGGAACCAATTACGAGGTTCTACGCCAGTAATAAATTTATGGGCCCCATTGTGAAAGGTGTGAGTCTCATGTATTTTATTATTGGCATGATTGAACAACTAAAGCGTTGCTCCTATTTTGTACGACATTGACCTAACTATATATAATCAGCGGCGATGTAGAAGTTCGCCGTGGTGTTCACATTTCACACAAGTCAGAGATGTCATGGTCAGCCGTCTAGAGAGAGAGAGAGAGAGATGCCGAAGAAAATTGAGGTATTGAGCCCTGCGGCTGCAGAGAAATTTTGGTCCCTCGGGAACCATTTTTATAGTGAGACTGAGCGAGATACGCTCCAAGCCAAACGAGAGGATCTGATTCGTGTTTTGACTTTGTTTAGGTACGCAATGTGATTTTTGGATGCCTTTAGGGGTAGCAAAAGTATTTTAGTTTATAAAGAGACCGAACGAGATGCTTTTCATGCATGGTTCATTGTCTTCTTCCTTGTAAAAAAAATAGATGGCATATAAAGGGCATTTGTGCCATTTCACATGCCACTTAAACGTCTATTAACTCTATTAACGGTTTTAGACTAAATCAACGGTTTTCGAAATTTTGCTTACTACAATGACACCTTTTGAAGTTCTGGTACTAACTTGATACTACCATCAAAGTTCAGGGTACTAAACTGAAATTTAACTAGTTGCCCATGAAATCATTGACTTTATGAGAAAAACTAAGGGTAAAACTCTTTGGATGGCTCTCAAGCTAGATATGGGTAAAGCTTATGATAGAATTGAGTGGTCTTTTCTAGAAAAAGTTCTAATTAAATTGAGATTTGGGACCAAATGGATTAACTGGGTAATGCAATGTGTCTCCACATTATCCTATAGATTGATAGTTAATGGAAGGCTGGGATCAAAATTTTTTCCTAAAAGAGGGTTGAGACAGGGGGATCCTCTCTCCCCTTACCTATTTTTGTTTTGTTTAGAAGTCTTATATGCTAATCTTTCAGAGCTAGTGCACCAAAAGCAAATTTCTGGTATATCCATCACCAAGAATTACCCAACTGTCTCTCACTTGTTTTTTGCAGATGACAGTTACATATTCACTAAAGTAGACATGGGAGAAGGGAAGGCACTCTTGGATACTATCAAGTTGTATGAAGAAAACTCTGGTTAACAGGTAAATTTCTCAAAATTTGAATTTTTTTCCAGTAGGAATTTACACCCCAAAATTCAAAGAATTTTGGCCAAAATTTCTGAAAATGATGAGGGTGTTTACTCCCTCTATCTACCTGAGGCTACCTACTTAAGTTGGGAAATCCAAACGGGCCCTCTTTAATTTCCTTATTGAAAAAGTGGGGAAACTTCTGTCTAAGTGGCATGAATCCATGCTTTCTCAAGTAGGTAATGAAGTCTTGATCAAGGCAATAGCCAGTGCCATTCCCAATTACACCATGTCTTATTTTTTACTTCCCAAAGGTGTATGCAAGGATTTGAAAAGCATTAAAGCAAATTTCTGGTGGGGTGGATCCCAGGGCTCCAGGAAAACTTATTGGGTGTGGTGGGAGAGACTCAGTAGGAATAAATTAGCAAGATGCCTGGGTTTCAAGGACCCATACCTCTTTAATTTGGCTCTATTAGCCAAGCAAGTTTGGAGAGTTTGTAGAGAAGAGGATAATTTGTGGGTTAAGGTGATTAGAGCAAAGGTCAGGATTTGGGAGGATCCTTGGCTGCAAAATATTGAGTCCATTAAAATTACAGGTCCTAGACCGAACAATCTTGATCTAATTTGGCTAAAGAACATTATGGTTGGAAATGAGAGGCTAATTTGGGACAATTTTAGTGACCCAATTGCAAAAAATATTCTTAGTATAAACTTGTCAGAGGGTTTGTGGGAAGATAAACTCAGATGGACTCTCAATCCAAATGGGCAATATATTGTCAAATTTAGTTATTTTGTCTTAAAAGCCTTGAGAAGTGGGAGAACATCCAAGGAAGAAATTGGCACTGTTGAAGAGTTAAAGAAAAGTCAGTGGTCAGAAATTTGGAAAGCTAAAATAGATCAAAAGATTAAAACTTCATCTGGAAATGATGTGTAAATGCGATTGCAATTAAGGAAAATTTAGTTAAAAGAAAACTGGCAACTGATGCTAATTGTCCTGTTTGTTCCCTCAGCCCAGAAACAATTCTTTATTGCCTTTTTGAATGCTCTCATGCTAAAACTGTGTGGTTTAATAGTCACTTGGGAGTTAGAAGCCTGGATGGGAGCAATATAATCTCTTTTAAACAATGGCTTTCTAGGTGCTCATCTGATAAAAATGTCAAGAATGATATGATTGCTTTCTCTTTTTTGACTATGTGGATTATTTGGAAAGGTAAGAACTTGAAAGTCTTTGAAAATACTGACCCAAACCAGAGCTCTACCCTTTTTGTTTTATATAAGATGCGGAGAGAGAGACAGAAGATTTCCCAAGTCGGATTGTGAGGTTCTTCTCTTCAGCAACGAGACCATGAAGCAAAGGGTAGATCTTTTTTAGAAAGTGCCAAGGCCAGGACTTTTAAAGCTGAATGTTGACGGTAGCTTTTTGTACCCAGGCTGCTCGGGGTTTGGTGCTGTTTTGAGGGATTCTTTTGAGACTATGCTAGCAGCTGTTTTTGGAAAGTATTGCGGCATCTCCGATACAAGCAGAAGCTTTAGCCATTGTAAGGAGTTTGGAACTGCTGAACAGATTCAAGGACAAATCCATTCTTGTGGAATCAGACAATTTGACTTTAGTCCAAGCTTTGAATGCCAAGAAGTTTGACTGGCCTCGAACGCAAGCTTTTTGTGTATGGACATTCTCACGTGTACATTTGGACTTTCTATTCACTTTATGCATTTTAATAGATGTGGAAATCTGGTAGCCCATAAGTTGGCTAAAAGAGGTCTGAAAGAGTCTGGGTTATTCTTAGAGGATCCACCCAACTTATAGCTACCTTAATTTCTGTTTGTGCTGCTCTTGTAATTTGTGTTTTGCTTTTTAATCAAAAGAAAAATAAAACTGAAATTTCCCCAAAAGAAAACAAATGATATCCCTGAAAAATGATGTTCAATAGAAAAATAATTACATTTTATTAAATTTTCTTGTTTTTAAAGATTAAAATTAGATAAAAAAAATAAACATTTACCATACGTTATTAATCTCAATATCAACCAATGATGTTATTCACTTAAGAATAAATTAATGTCATTCAAATTAACTATATCAAACAGTCTCTTACGGATTAAGCATGTGGCAACATCATCAATGACAGAATTGTGGCCGAATTTCAAGCCAACTGTACGCAAAACCAAAGAAATTGTCTTAAAACACGAAAGGCCCCAACCAAATTAAATTCTCTAAATACATACATTACACAATCCAAATATGGTTACTTTCTCGTTTTACACCTCTTCAAATGCCTGTCCCACCGTACGTTCCCCTGTCGGAGACTACTTTCGTCTCTGCCATCAATTTAGCCAAGCCAACTGCCTTAACCGTCGGCATTCCGCACCACACAAATCCTTGAGACGAGAAACTTTTACGGCTTTCGTTTTGTTAAATACATAAATCCGTTCATTTGCTTGAACTCGACTCAAACGGAGTCCACACCTCTTTTCTGATAATAAACTTGTTTTAATTTTTTTTTTAATTTTTATTTTGTTTTAATTTAGTTTCTAGGCAGATGGGGTTCTCTGTAAGGTCATCATTTGCCCTTACAGTGGCCTGGTTCGTTCTCTTCGGTGGATTGTTTATGGTCGTTAATGGTGATTTTAATTATAAAGATGCACTCACCAAGTCAATTATATTCTTGGAGGCACAGAGGTCAGGGAAGCTCCCTTCAAATTGTAGGCTTCGTTGGAGAGGAGACTCTGGGCTTGAAGATGGAAAACTTGCTGATGTAGCTCTCTCTCTCTCTCTCTCACTGACATTCAGTCACCTAAAAGAAAAGTAATTAATCAGATATTTCAAGGAATAATTCAGATTCTCTGTTTGCTTTCAGGTGGATCTTGTTGGGGGTTATTATGATGCAGGAGACAATGTCAAGTATGGTCTCCCCATGGCTTTCACCATTACAACCCTGGCCTGGGGTGCCATCTTTTATCGTGCAGAATTACAAGCAGCTGGGGAATTGCATAATGTACAAGACGCCATCCGCTGGGGAACAGATTATTTTCTCAAGGCTAGTTCCAAACGCAACACTCTGTGGGTGCAGGTGAGGCTGCTGCATTGTTTCTTTTATATATAAGATCGATTAAATTTATGATGAATTGGAATGTTTTGTCTCTTGATGAAAAGGTGGGAGACCCAGTTAAAGATCACCAGTGTTGGGTGCGACCGGAAAACATGGATTCCCCGAGAACACTTCTAAAGATTGACAGCAACACCCCTGGTACAGAAATTGCAGCTGAGACTGCTGCAGCATTGGCTGCTTCCTCCATTGTTTTCAGGAAAACAGATCGTTTGTATTCTCGTAAACTCCTCAACAAGGCAAAAGTGGTAATTGAAGAACTACATATCATCATGGGGGGATGTTGTTTCTTTTAATTTATATGGTTTAATAACCACTTACTTTATTAATTTGACTTGTTTTGTTCTTTATCTTGTTGGTCATTGATGTGCAGCTCTTTCTGTTTTCTAAAGCACATAAAGGAACCTTTGATGGAGAGTGCCCATTCTATTGCTCTTATTCTGGCTATAATGTAATCCCTCCCTTTTTCTCTCTGTGTCTGTTTCTGTGTGTCTCTCTTTCAACATCAACATGATTGGGTTAAAATGCAGGATGAGCTGCTGTGGGCAGCTTCATGGTTATACATGGCTTCCATGAAGCCAGTGTTTTTAGAATACATTCAAGAGGAAACCATCAGTGCAAGCGTTGCTGAATTCAGTTGGGATCTCAAATATGCTGGAGCCCAAATCCTTCTATCTGCAGTAAATTAAAAGATCTCTCTCCTTCTAATTATTTTAATTCTCCTATTATTTTAGTATATATATATATATATATAACAGAAGCTCAGCTCAGTTTTCTCTTCTGCAGTTGTATTTTGGAGGGGAGAAAAGTCTAGAGAACTTCAAGAAGCAGGCCGACAGCTTTGTATGTTCTGTGCTTCCTGAGAGCCCCTATAAGCAGATCTACTTCACTCCAGGTTTGTCCCTTGCTACCCAGAGTATCTTAATCAACACACACTACCATAATTAATCCACTGCTAGTGCCTTTGAATTTTCAGGTGGGTTGATTCACCTCAGAGATGGAGCCAACACGCAATATGTTACAGGCACTGCTTTGTTGTTTAGTGTCTACAGCGATGTGCTTGCTAAATACAACCAGAAGGTGGCATGCGGGAACAAAGAGTTTGACTGGAAAGATCTCATGAAGTTCGCCAAGAAACAGGTAATGAGATTAATCTCTCTTTGGTCTCTCCTCTCTCGAAGTCTCAAGCGCTAGCATGCCCAACCCGGATGAGATTAACTGAATTCTTCTTCTGGAAATTAATTTCAGATGGATTATTTGCTTGGGAAAAACCCATTAGGGAGATCATACATGGTTGGGTTCGGCAACAACCCACCGAAGCAGCCTCACCACAGAGGCTCCTCCGTTCCTATTTTGGCACCCAACGCCCCCATTAGCTGCCCCATGAGCTTCGTTAACTGGTTCCGAGAAGACTTGCCCAATCCCAATGAGCTCACCGGCGCCATTGTCGGCGGGCCCGATCGATACGACAATTTCGATGATCAACGTTGGGACTCCTCCAAGCTCGAGCCCACTACGTACATCAACTCCCTAGCCGTCGGTGTCCTTGCAAAGCTCAGTTCGCAGCATTCCTAATTCATGCAAGGCCGCCGCTGGTTGTTCCCCCATTCCATTGCTCTCCATGACAAGATAGAACTTTGGCGTGTATATGCTGCAAGTTTCCTCTTGTACACCTGAAGACCGGTTTCCCCTCTTGTTTTTATGACGCAACTACCCTGTTTTCTGGTGTGGGGGTGTATTCCTGATTTTCTCAACTCCAAAAATAAAAATTGATTTGTGATTAATGCACAACAATCGACACCCAGCAACTCTAAATGTTCTTATATCATACACTTGTAAAATGCCACAAACATCTACAATTAAAGTAGTGTATTTCACTATTATAAGAAGCCTTCATCTAACCAGTTCCAATTATACATGGCGCCGATCGTTTTTTCCGTAAACGTTTTCTGGGTAATCGCATTCTCTTTTTTATTTCCCGGGTGATAATTTTAGTATCATAAAAAATCATTATTAAAAGGGATAATTTTATAAGTATTGATAACTTTTTTTTTCTTATATCAAAAAATTAATTACACACTTGAAAGATGGTAGAGAGAAAATGAATTTTTTTAATAAACTCTACATGAATTAAGAAAAAAAAAGAAATATAGGTATTTTGGTTAATGGAATAACCTACTTTCTATGCTCTCAAAATCCCCAAAACTAACTCAAAATCCCCTGATAAAATCAGCCCCCCACAAGATTGCCCCCCACAACGTCCCACAGCAGATCCTCACTATGTATTGAAAATATTTTTTGATCATAATCCTAAAATAATGATGTTATTATTGGGAGATATTCTCAATACATGGTGGGAATGTGTTGTGGGACGTTTTGGGGAGCAATCTTGTGGGGGGCTGATTTGGTCTCTAAATTTTGTTCTTTGTAAAAATAAAGAAGATGTGTAAATTATAGCTTTAGACGAAGAACCAAATGCCATCGTTCAATTTTTTTCTTCATTCTGCTAAAACCAAACATTATTTCTTTCTAAAAGCATGATATATGAATGGTTAATTAGGATATACATCATAGAAATAAATAATCACATGACCATGCCCGTAAGCATTTTCCACTTGATTTGGGTGCCTTTTTTTAGTTTTTTAGGTCATAATACAAACATCATGAAAGGTCAATTAAGTAAATTGGTTGCAACGTGTTTTAATAAAACTCACTATAACACGTAATAGGAGCTACCACCCCATGCGTGTATCTCCCTCTTTATCTACCACAAGGAAAGGCAAGCAAAATTGATAACTAATCAACTAGTAATATGAAGTGACAACCAATCTAACGGGTATTCAGTAAAACTCATGCTGTCAAAGTTCTCCTGGTAGAGTTTGGCTTCAGTCAGGGCGAAGCTCGTCTGATCAGCTTTTACTATCTTGCATTTAGAATATCTCTATACTTGTGTGCTTTATTTGATGGGAAAATATTCCCAATACAAGGTTGCAAAAGGCTGTTAGAACGGCATGGGCACAGGTTTTTCCTGATAGAAGACAATCTCCTTCGGTTGCCTATTTATTGCTCTGGATATCAATTTTCCTAGAATTTATAAATGCCCCCTCCCTAAAAAAAAAATTATAAATGTCTTATTTTTGTAAATGTCTGTCCTTAATATACATTTTCCTATGCATATGTTATGATCCTATCCTATGGAGATGACCAATTCACTTGTTAGAGAATAAAAACATATTCAGGGATCTCATCTACCAGCTTAACCTTTTATATTGAATATTTACTTAAGAAGGTATTAGAATCTATTTGACCAAGTGGTCTAGTGTTTGATCCTCACCACGTCCATTATAATTAATTAAATTTTAGCACAAGATATGGACGGACCTATGCTTGTTTATACCTTGAGCCCTATAGACTTTTGCGTGAGTGGGCATGCTAAAGAATAAAAGCATATTCAACGACATCACCAAACAGCTAGCATTTTAGGTTGAACCATTCCTTGAGAATCAAAACTTGTTTTGATCCTTAATGCCTCCATTGTAATTAATTAAATTTCAGCACGAGATATAAGTGGGATTGTGCTTATTCATACTTCTAAGTCCGATGAACTTTCACACGAGGGTATGGATGTGATTCAGGTACAATCCAATTAACCCTCCAGTTCCTAACTTCGTATGGTTTGACAAGGTCTAAATTGGCCACTAAACAGTTTGGTCATGCATGGCAAGCCCAGTTCTTAATTTAGTGAATCACCTCTTAGTTTATGGGGTCTAGTCATACAGAGCCCCAGTTGAAACCATTCCAAAATGAATTCAACTACTAACCTTTTAATCTATGCCCAAAAATATGGACATCTCGGTGGACCAGACTGACGAGTGACCAGAGAAATATGATGAATTTTAATCAATCCAGACGACACATTATATATTGTCGTGTTTACCCTTGATTGAGCTAATAACCCGTTGAACACGCCTTCTTTGTAACAGAGCCGGAGTGTCTGAGTGGTGAATGATTTCTAAGTAGACTGGAAACAAGAAAATATATAATACTTTTTCACATTAACAATAAGAAACCTCAGCCTCTATTCATGTGAACCAGTTTCATTTCATATAAGGTAACGCATGACAAAATCAAAATGAGGCTGAATCTCCTGCCCAAAACTTTTATATCGATATCACATCTCTACCCACAAAACATTTCAAATGTGCATTAAAAATATTTCGTTAATCATTGATAAAGAGATGTCTCAATACATAGCAGTAAAAGGATGTGGAAAAAGTTTATGGGTAAGAGATCAGAAGTATTGTTGGATGGAGGAGATCTGATCTATTGGTTAGACATCCGATCTTCGAATTCAAATCAGCCCCCTATCAGATTGTCCCCTACAGCACATCTTTGTCGTGTATTATAAACATTTTTCGATGATGATATCATCATTTCTAGTATTATTATCAAGAAGTATTCCTAATACATAATTTAAATGTGCTGCGGGACGTTGTAAAAGACAATCTTGTGGGGGGCTGATTCGCTCTCCCGATCTTCTTCTTCTTCTTATTGGTTAAAGAGACTGCCCGTTCCTCAAACTCTAACCCCAATCGGCCAACCCTGTTGACAGTAGTATTTGATCCGAAATCTTTCTACAAACTTACAAACAGATGGAGTCACAATCGGTTTGGTTGGTATCCTTTTTTTCCCTAGTTATATTTATGAAAGAAAATGCAATCATGCAATAATACATCATTCGGTCAACCCATATTTTCAGATGGGCCAAAGCCAAGCTCATCTCGTTAGTTGTGACTCCCGACGACTCATGTATCGGTTTATTTTGTCGGGAGTAGGTCTAGTTGGAGACAGCACGAACCCTCTTCCTTATCCTTGGAGACAAATTCAAGTTTCTTTAGTCTCAAAAGTTTTTTTTTTGATTATCATGTGCAATAGTTTCGGAAGTCACGTGTTGAGAGGCCTATGGTGTGCAGTCGGAACTCGGAACAGTACGGGTTCACGTTTGAATCCAAAATTTCCAAACCGGATAGGATAATAAAAGGTAGCGTTACGCGTTAGCGGGCCAGGTTAGTTGTTGGGCTTGGCCCCTCTTCGTACCGGATAGCACTCGCACCACGTGGCAAGACGATGGGGACTTCAAAAAGGTGATGATTTTGAAGTAAGTAATCCTGAATTCTGGGACACGTGGTCGATAAGAGATGGATCGTGGAGACCATTTTGGGACCCACATAAGTCATGACGCCTTCTTCCACTATCACTACGTGTCGTTCGGGCCGCCCGTACAAATCCCATTTGATTCTTTGATTCGGAGGATCTAATTTGAATAGACTCGGCGGCTCACGCTGGATCACAATTCCGAAGCCAGCCTAGTTGTAAAGTCTGTAACTTAGCTATGTTTTAAGAATTTTATTTGGGTAAATTGCTGAAACCTCCTTTTAAGTTTCTGATCGTTGCTAAACCTCTCTCCAATTATTTCGCCTGAAATTTTGGACATAGTTACCAATCCTTTAATAAAAATATGAAAATGTCTAAAATAATTATACAATTATTATTGAGATTGGTTTTTATCGAAGAAAAAAAATAATTTTAAAATTTCAATTTTACCTTTGAGTGATTGTCATGAAGGGCAAATTTGAAGAATAAATCTATTTAAGAAAAGAGATTGAAAGATTTTAGACTAAGCATTTGAGAAAATTTAGAAAATAAGCATTTTAATAAAAATAATTGTATCGATATTTTGAACATTTCTGTCTCTTTTTAGAAAGTCCAAGGAAGGTAATTGCAATTACCAAATTCGGGGGAGGTTTCAGCAATATCAATCTCACAATTTAATCAAATACATCCCATTATCGTTCGTAAAAAACTGGACAGGAAATTTTTACTAATAATTTAATTGGATATGGCTTTAAATCCTTATTTGCTTTTCGATAAGTTGTTTATCCAAATAAATGTTATCCAAGAAACACTTACCTCGGGCAAATGTATTTACCTATGTTCTTTTATTTCTCATTTAAACAAAATAATGACCGTTTTAATCATAAAAAACCTATTATTTAAAGGAGCATATTTTGTTCCATCTAAGTTTTCACAATTCTCTTCCAAGTGGAAAAATTATTTATCCACCTAGGAGATGAGTATCACTTACCCAAAAAAATAAGCTTTTTTTAATCCCCCACGAACAGGACTTAAATCTGCGCTACACAAACGCCCCACATACATATCTCAACATGCATAAGAGGCATTATCAGTAGGAAATATACCCAATACACGGTTGAGATATACTATAAGGCGTTTGTGGGGCGTAGATGTGAATTCGCTACCACCAGCCCAATCTCTATCAGGTAGATATCCTCTGGATTGGTCACGTTTTAATACCGGAAAAAAAAATCATTTAATCCTAGTCCTACCAATAACTCAACCTTCTAAGCAGTTCTTCACTGGACGACTCAACCAGCAAAACCATGCGAGTGCAATAGACCGATTCGATGTAGACTCATTGATTGTCGAAGGACAAGAAAAAAGAATGGTCACTGTACGCGGTCGGGAGAAAGATCTTATCCACGGCGATTGGAGTGGGCCCCACTTTAATATTATGCATCCTCTTCGGCCTTCATTCGTTCAGATAAGCCGTGCCCTTACTGACATACTTCCTCAGTCTCACTAATCACGTTAACAACCCTCCAATTCCCGGGCCACGTCATTGCCTGAACAAATCAATCTAACGGGACAATAACACGCGTCTCCATTCCAGTTGTCCTTACTAGGGTGAAACACGTGGCGCGATCATGATCGTCCTCGACGAATTGTTACCTGCAAGAAACGGGCAAGTTCCACGAGCAGTCAGGGCAATCTATTTCCAGCACTTTAAAGTAATGACGAAACATCCTGCAACTGAGATATCACATCACTTATAATGCAGCAAATCATAGCCGCACAAGTGTCTACTCTCTTTCTAAAATAGTCAGATGATTGAGTCATGACCGTTGATGTAAATATTAAAGACAAGAAATGTTTTACTTAAAATAGAATCATTGCTACATTAAAATTGTTCAGGTTTTAATTATTAAAAATAAATAATAATAATCTTCTCCTATTTTTATAGCAGAGTGGATGAGGATAAGGCCTCTCGCCTTGCCCCATCAATTGTATTTATTTTTTCATGTCTGGATTAGTTCTGCCTCTGCGGAGTTGATATAATTTGTTCTCTCTCTCTCTCCCTGACATCTTGAGGATGATGGGGTTGGAATCGGTTGTAGGAGTGATCGTGATCGCGAAGGGATTTTTCTCACTCCGCCACTGAAACCAGCTCGGAATTTCTCTAACTTTGGGTTTATATTTTTCTGGAATTTTACGAGAATTTGAAATGATGTCGATTGCTCTGGATAGAAGCAGTAACAGGATCGAAGGCTCTGGATTCATTCGAGGGATGTCGTGCATGCCGATCTTTGACTCCTCGGAGTCTGGGAGGACGATGCCCGGTGTATTAGAGGGAGATCGGCGGTTTCCGGGGGGTAATATGGCGTCATCTGCGGACAAGGTAGACGAAACAGGACAAGATTTCGATTCTTGTAGTTCTTCGATCGGAAGGAATAGCGATTCGGGAAGGTCGTCAGCGGGGTCTGACGGAGAAGATTCCGGCGAGACTGAGGTCCAAAGTTCGTATAAGGGGCCTTTGGACACGATGAACGCCTTGGAGGACGTCTTGCCAACGAGGTGGGTTTCTTGTTCAACCACTTGTTTCCTTTTCCTATGTTCTTTTTTTCTCGATCGGATAACAAATATGCTGTTTCTTTTTCTGTTCAAGTTCGTCATGGTTATTATTGAGCTAACGAAAATATTGATCTTAATTGCCCTTTCGTTTGACGATCCCGCGATAAATATTGAACATAAATGTTGTTTTTTTCACCATTACTTCCGCAAACTGAAACCTTGCCTTTCCGTCTTTCCCGTTTAATTAATTATTTGTGAAAGATGGGTTTCTTTCTAATGATCAAGGATATACTAGAAATATGTGAACATTTGTAATGATCTCTGTGTGTTTGTGTGTGGATTTTACCTTCTTTTGTACTTTGTATTTGTTTTAGGGTAGTATTGATGTCTGCTTCCGAAATTGCGGATCTGGTTGAGGATTTGCTGATTAATCCAAGGGTTTCAATGGGTTCTTACTCCAATCGCTTCTGCCGCATTACGTAACTAGAAAACCACCTTATTTCCGATTCAATTTGGCATTCTTGAAACCTCATTTCTTTTTCTTTTTTCCTTGGGTCTTTCCTTTTTTTTTTTTTTTTTGTCTGGAAATTCAAACTTTGTTCGATTTAAACATAATTTTTGGGATGAAATACAGTATTCTAAACCAGAGGTGCCTAAAATGCCCCAAGGAATGATTCTTGTATTTCATTAACCATGTATTCAAGATTCAAGAAGCGCCATTTCCTGAACATTTATCTAATCCAGTTACTAGAGAGCATGGTGTAATGGAACATAATTCATGAGCTCGCTAATAAAGCTTGTTTTGGTCTCTGCGATGCGAATGTATCAGGTGCTAATGATAATATCTGCTTTGACCATTGTACAAATCATTTGTAACAAAAAAAGAAGGTTTTTTTCAGCATTGTCAGCTGAGATTGGATATCATTCTCTGTGTGCTTGTCTGGAAGAGGGAGGCAAATGGAATTCTTTTTTCTTAGCCCCTTTCTTCATTTCATGAAATGGTTGGTTAATTCTTGTGGTAACGCATTTGTCTTGCTGGTTACAGGAGAAGCATTTCAAAGTTCTACTGTGGCAAATCAAAGTCCTTCACAAGTCTAGCGGACGCAGCCTCCTCTACGTCGATTAAAGACATTGTCAAACCAGAGAACGCCTATACCAGGAAGCGCAAGAACCTGTTGGCCTGCAGTAATTTATGGGACAAAAATAGAAGCTTCCCTCTGAGAAGTAATGGTGGGGGAATATCCAAGAGACCAACCAATTCCAGTCGAAGCACGTTGTCTCTGGCAGTGGCCATGAGCAGCAGCTCTGAGAGCAATAATACCAGTGAGGGTTCAAGTTCAAACGCTTCACCGCCTAGACTTCTTCCACCTCTGCACCCTCAGGCTAAACCATCACTGAATTCATCGTCGTCCTCTCAACGAACTTTCTCTTCTTGGCGGTCATTCTCCTTGACTGATTTACAGGGCGTTGCTGCTGCAACTACTTCCACGAGTAATAGAGACAAGCACAAGAGGCTTCATTGACGCTTGGATTTCTCTCTTTCTCTAATTACCTAAACTACGGAGGTCATCTGTTTCTGTAAATGGTCGTCCTTGTTTGGTCTCAGGTGTTCTCTACCCTCTTTGAAAATTTCAAGTAACATATCCGAGCATTTTGGGGTATATAATATAGAACACTAATGTAACTCTCTTGTTTTAGGCTTTCGGATGGAAAAACTACACGTTAATCCCAGTTACGGTTCCACCGTTGATTCGTGAATGAAAATCAAGCAAATAGAGAGCCCTAGCTGGGGTCTTACATCTTTATTATTACGGGAAAATTAACAAAAAAAGAAAAGTAAATGCATGCTGATTCTAAATCATGACAGGTATTGCTTGATATAATATGAATTGTTTTCTGGGCAACGGTCTAGAAATTACAGTTGATTTATTTTTTACAAAAAATGCAATTAATTTATTTCTACTACTTTGTTCGTAATGTATTATTTCAAAGAAACGATTAAAGAGCAAGGCACGATCCACGTGGGTTTCTCTGCTATATTCATGCCTCTCCTCTCTCAATTACTAACAAGCAACTTACAACTTCTCCATTGAGTCATCATCTACTAACAAGGTAACATTTGGACATTGGTTAAGGATTTGCGTAGTGTTGGTGAAGACAGTAACAGTGGATGAGGAAACTGATTTAATAATGAGAGGGAAAAAACCATTTTGGATTGCATCCCTCATGAATAGCCCACAGTTCTGCCATTTGAATTGAAGTAATGCTAATGTTTTTAAGGTATCCCCCACACCATCGACCTTATAATCTCTGAAGAGACCAGCTGATGAAGCCATTCCTGAATGATGTTTTGATGCCCCATCTTTGTTGAGCTTAAAGGTGTGTTCAGGTGGAGTCCAAGTAATGCATTTCTAAAACCTGATATTACTTTGAGTAGATGGGTTAGCAGCCATATACATATCAGTAGTATTGATTTGATTGATATTATTTCTTTGTTGTCAAAAATTATGGCATTTCCAAATAACTCACCAAGTATGACACAATAATGATAACAAATGTTTCTGAAGTTGATTTTGTAAGCTCTGAATCCCACGTTTCGAACTCTGAGGGATGGATAAAGCTATTGGAAAGTAGGTCCATATATCTCTAGCTTTTGGGCAATTAAATAACATGTAGTGAGGTCTTCATTTGGATTTTGACAGAGCATTTCGAGTCAGGTATAACATTTCTATGGTAAAGAAACTGTACTTATGGGAGCATAGAAATTTCCAAACTTGCATATTTTCAATTGTGTGATCTTTATATCAAGGTTCAAAATATCGTTATGTTTGATACATCGGTAGAGGTATATCAGTTGTTTTCTTAGTTTCTTTTAAATCCGATTCAGAGGGACCAGTTTAAAGTCCGTCCACTCCTTAAACTGGTCAAAACCCCAATACACCCTCTGTAGGGACATATCGGGAAGTTCCTGATACGATACATATTGGTCAATATGTATTGATTTTTTGAACATTGCTCCATACTTATTTTTAAAGAAAACTTCATAGGCTGACTTAACTCTTGTAGACAGTTGGACACAAACACAGATTTCATGGGGGCATTTTGAACCATGGGATTCCATACGCATTTAGAGTATTGATATAGTATGTATTTGATTCCGTGGGCATTTATGGATAGACCATTTGTTTGTATTTTTTCACTCTAAACATTTATTTATAGTTTTTTACTTTAAACATTTTCTATTCTCTACCTCAGATTAATATCCATTAAAATGTGCCACATCGGAATTTGGTTTCAAAAAATGATAGGGCATTGAAAAAAACAAGAATTTGACATTTCCCCAAATGCCCAATGCACAAAAATCAAAATGTTTCATTTTTTAACCATTTATTTGATAAACAGTGAAACCAAACAGTTGTTCCATTTTGCTTCATATGTAATAAACGCCAATGCTTTGTGGTGGCATTTTTTCAACAAACACCCACAGATGACAACCAAACACAGCTATAAACATCATGTAAATGTTCCTCAAGTTTAATTTCATGAAACTGGAACCTAAGAATCATATTTGATACGGTAGATAGTAGATTTAACTTCAAACATTTGTAACATCCTAACGGTTTTGCGCATGGGAGTGTTGGGGGAAATGTGTTTTTGGTGCTTCACCGTTTCCTCCCCACGGGTCATTTGACTCGTTTCAAACTGAGTGTTATGCGCCAAAATACTTCCCCAATTTTCAAATCCAAGAAGAACGAATATTGAGACTTAAAAACACCATGATACCAAAGAAGATGAATAAAAGAGCATATTAGGGTTTTATCTCAAGACAATAGAATAAATCCATTATATCATGATCAGAATTTTAATTAGGCCAGATCAAAATGCATATTGTGGTTTTATCATTTATGACTTTTATCTCAAGGCAAGCCGTCAAGTCGTATGCTGTTTAAGTACATGATCAAAATTTTAGAACATACCATGATACCAATGTACACCAGAAATTTTTAGAAGCCAAAAGCTTTTGATAAACCTTCGGAGAAATAACAAAGGGAATACAACCGAAGGGAATTTCCTTCAGGTAATTCGTGTACTACAACAATCCCGTAAAAAAGGCAATCTAATTGACCTTATCTAATCAAGCAAATAATAGTTACAACAAGAATGCCTATTTTACAAAGGATAGAATTACTACAGCCTACATGTATACTAGGCTAATAGAACGCAATTCTTATCCCACGGCTATATACCATCATCATCCTCTTCCTTTGTATTCGTCATCCATTGATGACGTCTAAAAGATCACTTTATCATCTGAAAAATTCTTGAATCTAGTGGTGATCACCCAAAACCTTGTAATTAAACTCTGATTCTTCTGTGGCATGGTGGATTTCAATAGAATAGGACTGTTCAGTTTACGCTGGTGAAAACCCAACGAGATGCACCTAACCACTCTGGAAGAAGACACCCTTTCATCCATTGGCTACGAGTAACCATCTGAATTATATTTAGATGGAACTCAACTTGAACATCTTTCAAGTCAAAAGAGGTCTATCTACTGGATGTTGGACCAGGAACTGAGCACAAGGACATTCCCGCAGAAGTGGTGGAAGTTCAACATCTGATGGATCGATAACAGGAATAGCCTTTGATATATCATCAGTGGAAAATGGAATGCTGCAATAACGAGATCCTATCTGAGATAGCAGAAACCTCTATAGAGCAAAGAAATTATGAAAAATATCGATGAGGAAGTAGGGCATAAAGCATGATGATAAAATAGAAGCAATCAAATATATCCACAAGCCAAGAAAGAATATTTTAATGAAAATTTCCGTGTTTTTCTTATATTCTACTTCTAAGATGAGTTGCAAAACCCAAACGAAAGTAGCACGGACACCTTACCCACCCACTCAGGCTTACCTCAGCCCAAGTGCAGTTTGAATGGTATTGAATTTATGCCTCAGGCTGGTCTAGGGCCGGTCAACTTGGTCTTTGAACTAGGGTTGGGCCAGAGTTGGCCTTAAACCTGATCAAACCTGCCCAAGTTGCACCCATACTTATATTTTGTTAAATGTCATCAAACTTCTAAAATATACAGGTTTTTTATAATACTAGTTGAGTGGCATGTGCATTTGCATAAGCAAGAGGATAGAGAGAGTGGTGGGAAGGCAGAAGGAAAATAAATGATTTCTTAAGTAATTATTTATTTAAAAATAATTAAATGATTAATCATTTAATAATTTTATTTGACTAAAATTTAATTTTATTTAATTATTTAATTAAATCATTTTTACAAAATTTTTAATTATTTAGTTTATTTTAAGCTTCCTAATCTATTCTCAGGGGCAAAATATTTAAGTAACCATTTTTCAGAACTCAAAGTTCAGATTTCAAAAAGACATTCTCTGCATTTAGATATTAGAAAAAGCACCAAAGCAATCTTTTAATAGGAGTATTTCTGAAACTCATTTTTCTTGGATCATTCACTCGACTTGGATTGTTCAGTTTCTCAAATGAGTTTCAAACTTTTACATTCTCTGCATTCAGATTTACAGACTGCTAGAATCCAAGGATATCCTAGTAACTGAACAATCCAAGTCAAGTGAGCTCAGGCATCACTATAATAGGAGTATTTCTGAAACTCCTTTTGTTTTTAATAGTTTTCTCTCTTCATCATCTGAAAAAAATGTTCCACTAGTAAATACTAATGGAACCATGTAGTCTAAGAGAAATGAGAATCACTTTAATGGGACAAAGTAGCATAGACATCTTTATCAAGTTTTTTTTTTTTTTTTTTTTTTTTTTTTATCAATAACAGTAAATTTTATTAATAATTGAGAACCTAGGAAGTTACATAGAAAAGGAGCTAAAGAATCTTAACTCCCTACTTCCTCTTTTCATTGTTGTAAATCCAGAGCTTAGAGCTATCCTCTTTTAGCCAATTCACCACAATTTCAGAATCACCTTCTATGATCAGTTTYTTAATATGCATGTCCTTAGCCCTTTGGATCCCTTCAAGAGCTCCTAGAATCTCAGCCCTTAGAGAATCGCCCACCCCAATTGGACCGGAATACATAGCTAACAAGTTCCCTTTTTCATCTCTTATCACTCCCCCTATTCCGGAAGGCCCTGGATTACCCATGCTGCTACCATCAAAATTCAGTTTGGTAAACCCTTGAGGTGGAGGTGTCCAACAAGAACTTGAGGTCATCTTCACCAGAGCTGAATCTGCAATCTCCTTCCAATTTCTTATCATTTGATCAACTGAGAAGTCTGTAAACAGTTCTAAAGTTTTCAACCAATGTATCACCCTAACATGGATACTCTCCAAGATTGCTTCCAAGCTTCTCTCCTTATCTGAGAAAATCCGTGAATTTCTCTCCTCCCAAACAGTCCAACATACTGCAGCCCTAACACATCTCCACATGATCTTGGCCCTTTTTGTTATCCAGCGAGGCATGGATGTGAATAAACTTTGCACATTCAAAGGAGGGGTCCACCTGCACCCAAACAAAAGAGTAAACCATTCCCAAATACCTTTAACAAACTGACAAGAAATTAGTAAGTGGTATCTAGACTCACCATCAGATTTACAGAAGACACACCAGTTAGGAGATAAACATCTATTGGGTCTTTTTCTTTGAAGTAAATCCCCTGTATTAACTCTTTCCAATAAGGCTTCCCAACAAAAACTCCCAACCTTAGGAGGAATAGGTTGACACCACACCTCTTTAACCGAGAAGGACAAACCAATAGGAGAGGGGGGTAATAGGGCCTTAAAGAAGGAGGCACAAGTGTAGGACCCCGAAGGAGTAAGAGTCCAGATTCTATTATCTGCCTTTGTTGGAGCAAGGAAAACCCCATCCAGAACGGATAATAAGGCTGAAAGACAATCTAACTCCGTGTCCCTGATAGCTCTTCTCAAACCCAAGTTCCAACCAAAACAAAAAGGTGAATTAGAAGGTACAAGGAAGGAGGAAATTGGTTCATTTTTCATGGTAGAGATAGCAAAAGGGCCTAGAAATTGATCTTTCAAAGCGGAGTCCCCAACCCAAATATGTTCCCAAAATTTAGTGAGGTTACCTGAGTGCACATCATACCTTATCCAGGGAGAGAACAAGGGCAAAATAGCTTGAACAGCTTTCCAGGGAGATGCTCTTGTAGTCCTTGCAAGAATCCTAGAATCCCATCCATTATTTGCCATCCCATGAATACTACCCACTATCTTAACCCAAAGTCTTTCTCTCTCTAGTGAGAATCTCCACAACCATTTCCCTAGTAGTGCTAGATTTCTACTCCTTATATTCCCAATTCCCAAACCTCCCTCCTTACTCCTACACACCATCTCCCACCTAACCCTATGGTCCTTCTCTTCTCCTGGCTCCCATAGAAACCCTCTCATTAGTTTTTCCAGCCTGCTAGCCACCTTGACCGGGACCTTAAATACTGACAAAAATTAAACCAGAAGGTTAGCAAGTGTGGACCTAATTAGAGTGATTCTCCCTCCCATAGACAAATAGTTTTTCTTCCAGTTGGCAAGTCTCTTTCCAAACATCTCCACAACAAGAGCCCAAAACTCATCTTTCTGAGGGTTATCTCCCAATGGTAATCCAAGGTAGTTTAGAGGCCAATTCGATATTACACATCCCAAAATGTCTGCACACWCACATAATTCCCCTTCTCCCATATTGACTCCAACTATACAACTTTTCTCAAAATTCACTTTTAGGTTTGACATTTGTTCAAATAGTTGTATAGTGAGCTTAAGATTTCTAATCCTATTGAGTGGTATGTTTTCTAATCCTATTGAGATTTCTCAATATTGTATCATCTGCAAACTGCAAGTGTGTGAGTGGTATGTTTTCTCTTCCAACTCTCCAGCCTCTTATCAAATCCCTAGAATCTGCTTTGGAGGTCAATCTCCCCAGCACTTCTGCAACCAATGTAAATAGGAAAGGGGATAATGGGTCTCCTTGTCTAATCCCTCTCCAGGCTGGAAAATAGTCGACCACTATCCCATTCACTAGAATGGAGTAGTGACAATTCCTAATACACCCCAACACCCATTTGCACCAGATGTCTCCAAACCCAAAGTTAATCATCACCTCCAACAAAAAGGACCAATCAAGCAAGTCATAAGCCTTTTCCAAATCTAATTTGCAAACCAGCCCTCTTCTCCCGGATCTCTTAAAATCCTCTAGACTCTCATTTGCTACAAGTATCTGATATGTTATCAGCCTCCCCTTCACAAAAGCTCCTTGGTTATTTGCTATGATTGTTGGGAGCACCTTCCTGATTCTAATGGACAGCACCTTAGTGATGATCTTATAGAGGCTATTAACTAAATTGATTGGCCTGTAATCCTTCGGATGGGTTGCATCACTTTTCTTGGGTACCAATGCAATAAATGTGGAGTTCAGCCCAGGGTTAATCACACCTCTAGCATGAAATTCATCAAACACCAACCTTAAATCCTCTTTTAGAAACTCCCAACAATCTTGATAAAAAGCCATCGTAAAACCATCAGGGCCCGGTGCCTTTGATCYATCCATTGAAAATACCGCYTYCTTTATCTCTTCCAAATCAAATTTCCTTTCCAGCCACTCCCTATCTTCTATCTTCAGTGTTGGCCATTCCAATCCCTCAAGCCAAACCCTATTATTTAAGGGCCTTCTAAATATAGACCTAAAATGATCTGTAAATGCTCCTGCAATTTCTCTTTGGTTAGTAACTGCTATCCCTTCAATCTTCAAACTTGAAATAGAATTTCTTCTCCTTCTGCTACTTGCCATGGCATGAAAAAACTTGGTGTTCCTATCCCCTTCTTTTAGCCATTTGCATCTTGACTTCTGCCTCCAGCTTATTTCCTCCTGAAGAAGATAGTCCTCTAACTGTTTACGCAATTTCCATCTTTGTTCCTTATCCTCAACTGTTAGACTACCCCTCCCTTCTTTGCTATCTAAGTCTTCAATTTGTGTAATCAAACTCTGCTTCCTTTCCTCCAGTCTCCCAAACTCTAATAGATTCCAATCCTTGATTTTAACTTTCAGATATTGTAGCTTTTTATGAAACCGCATTCCACTCCACTCCATTGCTGGGTTGCTCTCTGACCACCACTCTAACTTTCCTTATGAATTCCGGGTGTTCTAACCACATGTTTTCAAATCTAAATGGTGCAGGACCTGCATTTCTCACCTCCTCCTTACAAAGTACAATAGGCCAATGGTCAGAGGTCACCCTCGGAAGTTAAGTACAACACAACTCAGGTCAATTGGTTGTATCACTTATCCAAGGTTCAAACCATGGAAACAGCCTCTCCGTATGTGCAGGGGTAAGGCTACATACTGATCAGGTCCACTAACAGGAAGGCTTCTAGTCTTCTACATTGATCCACCAAACAGTTTCCTACTTTGTTACAGGGGCAAGGGTTCAAACAGGAATAACACTGGATTCCAACTCTATACTGCATACCCTTTTAAGCAATCTGGACAACATGACAAATCACATTTGGCATGGGATATGCTTCAGCAAACAAAATAATTTAACCTGAACAGATAACACGCTTACATTTTTTTCAATGTTAACATCCATTGACAATCTTCCAAATGTAATCAAGCATAAAGCTGGAAATAGCTAGTTGGCATGTCCACAGCACTACAAAAGAGGTGATCCATCAATTGTGTGGTCTAATTCAAGAAGCATCCCCAATGTGGACCTCATAAAACCTGGAACTACAAGGCCTAGCTAATGGCTCACATAGTTTAGACTTTAATGTAGTTTTGAAATGTCTTCTTTTCTTACAAGACTTTTTCCAAGTCCTCAGTCACTTCGTTTTTTAAATTATTAATACATTGAAGCCAAGCAGTTCATTACACTTACCTCAGATCATCATCCAACAAGAATGAATTTGAGTTGAGAGTCTGAGAATCTTTGTTCAGGATATCCCTCATTTGGGTAACCACCTGAAAATTTCTAAGCAGTTTTAGAAACAATGATATAGCAGCAGCCATCTTAGAAAAGAAAAAAGGATGTTTAACAAATAGGAAAATAATGTAACTTGCCTCAGTTGACACACTTTGCGTGCTATATTTGTCATCCCAGTACATCGTACTTATTCGGTAAATTTGCCTCACTGTCAATGCCTGCACCATTTACAAGATCAATTAGTTTAGTTCAAAAGGACCCCTTTAAGGCACAAGATAGGAGGAACATAAAAATTAATGAAACTAAAATTGTCATATGTGTAACAGATCATACCGGACATAAATCCTGCCTGATCTCTTCCAGAGACTTTTTCCTCTTTTGATGTATCACCTGAAAAACAAATATCCAACATTGGTAAGAAAAGAAGCAAGACACAGCATCCTCAATCATCTGGGGGTTGGCTTTACCAGAAACCCAACAGCTTGCCTGATGTAATTAAGCTCATGCCAAGAAGTTCCTGCAAACTACACTCAATGACAAATCAGATTCTGAAAACTTAACATTGAAATTGGTTGACAACTTATTTCAGCACAAAGAAATGTCATAATTACCTCCTCCGTTGCATTAACTATCCATCGCTCAAGCTCTGCAAGTCCAGATTTAACATATTCCCCATTTGAAAATGTGCAACATTCACGCCGCAATAGAAGACTGAATAACAAGTAATAAAGTAATTAGTCACTGGTAATGGTATTTCAAAATACTGAAAGTTAAAAATAATTACCTGTTGAAAAGTTGTATATTGATGAAAGAGAAAACTTGAGTGACAAGCTTGCGTATGAAAAAAGAGGGTACCTAAATTGACATTTCATTTGAATCAGAAGAATGCAGCAGGACATGATCAGTGTTCAACATTCATAACACAAATAATGCAATAAATGTAGTTACCATTTAAATCATTCTAGAAAACATGGCGCCACTATGGATGCACAATGCAAAGGATGAAAGTTATCTATTCAATATGAACAAGTGATCAGTTCATAATGTCTCATTTAGAAAACCCTGTAACATTCCACTCCATAGCCCTCTTACCGTCTAACATTCCAACATATAATCCTCATCTCCACTTGTATTCCCCCTGCCTTGCCTGTGTTATTTCCCTCCATGCTCTTCTCCTTTTTCCCACTGCAATCCTTGTCATAGTCGATATCACATCTCAACATTTCCACCCAATTCTTCTTTCTTATTTTCTTTTCCTGCTCTACATTTTTCTTGGAGTACATCTTTAGAGAAGTGAAACAAACCAGTAGTAAAAAAAGGTTTTAATCAAAGGAAATAGGAAACAAAAGAGGAAGAAAAAGGTTTAGAGCTAGAGAAGAGAAGAGAATGGAAGAAGAGAGAGATGGAGTAGAGAAAGTTGAACCTCTCTCCAATCCCCTAATCAACTTTTTATTAGATTCATACTTAATTAATGATGTAATTACATAGATGTGCTTAATAGGGCAGCTGACTGGTTAAACATAAAAAGAAAGAATAAAACAGGCCCATTAACAAAAAAAAAAAACAAATAATAAAAAGAATGATTATGGACCATCTAGCCCAATATCCCTTCAGTTCTTTAGGCCTTCAGCATTCCAACCTTTAATCCCATGGTTACACAGTAGCATTCTAATTCCAGCATTTCTAACCATACTGACCATCCATCTCAAAATCCTCATTTCTGATAATATCCATTTTATGGACATATTGCTACTTCATTGCCCAACACCTTTCTTCATACAACATTACTGAATTGATAGTCCTCCTTTTTTCTATAAAAGAAACTTATTCAAATTAAGCCAAGCTTCAATTAAAAAACACGCATATGACTTAAAATTTAAAAGTATTACTAAAAAAGGCATGGAGTATCTAAGACTTATTTTTCAGATAATGTTTCATTTCTTTCATTCTTCTTTTCCGTTTGCAAACTGACTAAAAGAAAATGAACCCAAAGCCCCTCCTAGGGGTGAGCAAAAAAACTGAAAAACCAAACCAACCAAAAAACCAACCGAAACCGAACTGAAAAATCAGTTAACCGACCCGGTCAGTTCGGTGTTTTTAAAAAACTGAAGGTATCAGTTCGGTTAACCAATATGGAAAAGTGGCGGTTAACCGAACCGACTGGTATAAATATATTTCTATATATTTTATATATACTTTATATATATTTGTGTATATTATAATATTTTTATATTTTTATATATATTTATGTATATATAATTTTTATTATATGTTTATATAGTATATATTGTAAAAATTAAAAACCGACGAACCGAACCAACGGTTAACCGAACCGGTCAACCGACTGGCTTCAGTTCGGTTTCGGCTACCGGTTTTCCAAAAACCGCTATTACCGGTTTGGTTCCAAAAAAAGCCCCACGGTTCGGTTAACCAAACCGTGAGACACCCCCCCCCCTGACAGACCCCAAATGTAGAATTTGTACAAGAACACATTCAGATGAAGATGAACTAAATTGAGGATAAGAAGATTGCATCTGGACACCCAAAAAAGTCAAGTTGCACAGAAAATGTAGAATTTACATAATTTCCACGTAGATGACTCATTAGTGAGTCCAAGAATTTGATGATGCTGTCCCAGTGATTGCTTAGTGACTGTTGAGGAGCACCCCCAGTTGATCTAGAAGATTTTCCAGTATGTACTCTGCCAGCTTTTGGTGCCTACCATAAGACACGAAATACAAGATAAAAGAAAATCAAGATAGAACATAAGTATATTTCAAGGGTGCACAAATCAAGAAAGGTAATTGGACTAACCTGAATGCAGAGTCCAAGAAGTGGTGATATCTCTTTCTTCAAGTTATCCCTAATCAAACCAAAGATCTTCTCCACACAAGCAGTCAGTTGCTGTTTAAACAATATAGCTGGATATCGTGCCTCCACATGTGATACACTCTCATCATATCCTATATATTTTAGAGGAGATCTTAAACCCTGGGAAACATAATTATGCTGAAATCAGTCAAATCTAGGTTCAAAATATTGGTGCCAAAGTGTATCATTAAGGCAATTTTAGGAATTAGGATATGCATTGCAATAGACTTTGGATACAAACATGACACTGGTGATTCAGACCAATATGGGAGGAATGGCATCAAAGTTGGGCCATTAGACCCATAGGTCCCATACCATATGTTTAGGAGTGTCAATGGGTTGAGCAGACCCAAACCAAACCAACTCAATTATATAGGGTCTGGATCTACATTATAAATGTATTAGGGTTGCTTTTTGTTGCTCTGAATCAATTAGGACCTATGTATGTATGTATATGTAAATTGGCAGATTATAAATATACCCCAAGTCTAAGACCTATTTATATCATGATATACTTGTAGTATTATCATGTTATGATGTCCAAATGCGTTAATTTAATAAATAAGTAGGTTTATTGTCAAATAATAGGTTAAAAACACAGCTGTCAATTATAATCAGGCCTAATTGGTCCTTATATATCTTTAAATCTTTTATGTAACCAACTATTATCTATTGCCACACCCCCATTCCATGATTATGGGATGTTGATGTGCCCACAATTTCGTTTAAAGGATAATTTCTTTTTAACAATATCATAGAAATTGCATTTTGAGTGGAAACAAACCTTAAAGAGTAGGAAAGAAAAGATAAGATTGTAATGTACGCAACCACCCTTAATCAATCATGCACCCAAGGCCAGGAAATTAAGCAACTAAGTGGGGCAAAGTAGTTCTAAAATGACAATATAAACATAACATCCCTACTAATGTCAAGATCCATTCAAACTTCTTAATGGGTATAAAATATTTATTTATATGAAGCAATCATGTATCAATCTCAAACTCACAAGTGTTGTTAGGATAATGAAATCTTAAATATTCATTGACATGAAATAGTAACAACAGACGTACAAATCACAAAAAATTGATTTTTCTTGGAACTTACATGCACCATCCTCGCAGTTAGCCCAGAATAACCCCCAGAACGTTGAGGTGTTGTGAAAAAGCCATTTGAACGTAGATTCTTCTGCAGGAGACATAAAAGGGCTGAGGCATTGGACAGCCAATAGGGCAAAAGCTTTTTCTCCTCCCCCACCTGCAAACTTTATATGTACACTTAATTAGAAATGCTACTAATAACAACTATAGCATGAGGATCCAACTCATTCAATAGACTTTAGAACTACACTTCCAAAACACATGAACTATCTCCAATAAAGATGGAAGATAAATAACACATTTGCAAAAATACTTCTCAGAATCCCACCCTCGTAGCAATAAGACATCAGGGAAGGCAGTGAAAAACCAAGCAACATACATAATGCAAACACGTACAAGCAAGAACATTTACAAATGGTCATAAGCTAATGACAATTAGGAAGTCAGATTCCAAAAGGGAAAAACAAGGTTATGAAATTATAAAACACCTTAATAACTTCATTGATTCCCTCAATTACATGGTCAAAAATAGAGGTCCTCTCAGACTCGAAGGCACGCCAATGAAGAAGACATTTATAAATGATACAGGCAGCCACAGGTTTACCATCTTTGAATCCCAAATCTTCTTTTATACACCTCGAGAGAAATTCATGTTTCTCCTGCAATAACAATATGGATTCTTCAGATCTAGCAAATGCAAAAGGACAATGAAGAAAAAAGTTCAGATCCTTGGGCCTTCCAACCAAGATGACATCTGATAATAAAATAAATAGAATAGGCATTCTATTATACGGAAATGCAGTCCTTATTCACAATAAAAAATTGAAACCTGATGCCTCTCAGCAGTCATCTTGGAGCGCCGTGATTCTGATTGGCTCTGTCCAAAGGGAAGAATAATTTTTGTAGGGGTAGGTGACTCCTATCATGAGATAAACCAATGGTAAGTGATTAAAGAAAGGACTCCATATCCCCAGAATAAAACAACAGGAACAGAACTTACAAATAAGGACTTCTGGTCATTGTTGGGGAGTGCAAGTGCTCCAGATTGTTTCTGATTCAACAAACATAAGGAATTCACTTAGTTGTTAACAGACTGCATAAAATAAGAAATAAAGAGGAATTATAATATAATGTATCTGAATCAAACAGAAATTAAGATCATACCACAATTATTAATATATCTACAGTAGACTAGGTGGCAAATAACAGGATCCTATATACAACATAAGATGTGTCAAATATTGATTTGACTTCGCATATTACCTCTGAGAGTAACTTGGCAATCCCAGGACGGTTGCGCCTTGGAGATGTGCTCAACGTTTTTTGTCTTAGAACATGATTTTCATTTTCCAAAGTCGAAAACTTCTCCTCCAAGCTAGTCAATAGGGAAATAACATGCATAGAAATAAATCACCATAAATATGAGAAGCAAAACTACCAACTAAAAGCATCAATTAACAATATATGTGTTTAATACCAGGAAATTAAGCACAGCAAGGTAGTTCCATAATAATATATCAAGTGCCATTTAAATTCTTAATTTCAGCAGGAAATTAGTAAAATGCAAATAAACAAACCCAAAGAAGACAGTAGGGATATACCATCAAAGGACACAAGTGCGAAATGAATGCACTAATCTCTATCTCTCCTTTGGAAGTATTACATCAATTGTTATGGTTAATATGCAATAGTAGACGTATAAATGGAATACCGTCGCAAATTCTGCTGAAGCTTTGAATATTTTTCCTCTACTTCTTGCAACTTCTCCAAGGTATCAGCATTTTCATTCCGTGCCTTTGCAAGCTGAAGCTCCATTGCAGAATTCTCTTTTGACAAGGATTCTAATGAACTCTGACCAGAAAACAAGAAGCACAATAAGAAAAGTCTTACACTTCAATTGTATACAAAAGTAAATGCTATAATGATTAGAATGCATGATGTAACAACAAAGCTCTCAGCCTATTAAATACCAAGCTCTACCTAATTCCAAAGGGCAAATCTCTTAAAGTACCCCTAAGTTTTAGCACTGATTTAAAAGGTGCACCAAGGCACCGAGGTGAGGCTAGGCGACAGGGGGGCACCTTGTCGCCTAGGCAATGAATTTTTAGTAAAAACATGTATCCTAGGGTAATTCCCTAGGTTCCATAATCATATTTCCTTAATAAATACCCATAATTTTCATAAGTATAAACTTCCTTACTTGATATATAAACAAACAAAAGGTGGAAAGAAGAAAAGAAAAGGTGGAAGAAGAAGAAGAAGAAATTAATATATAAACAAACAAAATTAGTAAAGAAAAAGAAGAATATGTGTTGATTGGACAGCATTTTATGTTCTTCCTTACTTATTAGTTCAGGTTTTGAAGTCTTTGAGGATAGGGGTGCTCACGGTTCGGTTAAACACACAAAATGAATATTTTAGTTTAAAAATGTCTATTTTATAATTATAACCACAAAAAATTAAGAATATAAAAGTTTTTTATAACAGCCTATAGAAAACTGCTTGGCAATTAGGTGAGGGGAGCCTCCAAGGACGCCTTGTCGCCTTGACAACTATGCAAGGCACATAGGCGAGGCGCATTTTAGGGTATGCACAAGCCCAAACAAGGCCATGTTAGGGCCTAGGGTTCGCTCGCTCACCAAAGCTCCGAGAAGGCGAGAACGCCCTATTTGCTAATGTTGTACATTCATTCATTCCGATACAATATCTTCTTAAAAGGCAATTAAAGTTATAAAATCATTATTTTTTATGTGAGGAATAAGAATTTAAGACCCCAACATGGATTTGTTCGGGCTTGCCTCGAGGCGTGGTACAAAGCTAAATCATAGAATCAATAATGCAATATGTTTTACATCAAAATAGCTACTTGAAGCAATGCAATCGAAGAAAAAAGGAGATTTTGGGTTTTACATGCTTGAAAATGCTTTATATGTTTGGTTTCATTGTTAAATTTTCATTTGAATACGCTTTACATGTTATGTTTATGTATTTTAATTTTAGATAATAAGTTTTTTTAAAAACAAAATTTGAATATGCTTTACTTTTTTGATTTGTTGCATTTTTTTTATAAATTTTGGCATTTTTATTTGAATTTTTGACAATTATTTTTTATTTTTTAGATTTTTTTGTTGTGTTTTTGCGCCTTGCTTCAAAAAAGGCACGTGCCTCACCTTGCGCCTCAAGTTTTCTCACATGTGACAACTTGTGATGTATAATTTTTTTTAAAAAACCCAATATTACCCTTTTGTAGTCAATTTTGCCCTCTATTATTCTTCAAATTTTCAAAATAAAACTCAACATCCACCTTGCAGACAAGAACACAACCTTCAACCTTTACTTGGTTGAAGGTCAAGTACACAACATTCAACCTTTACCAATTCAATGCAATTCACCACCCTCCATTGACAGGTCCTAAGCACAAAGATGTGAGCCTTGAAAAAAAAAGCTAGTAGGTGAGCAAAGACTTCAGTTTTCCAAATTTATGGTATCTATCAGGTATACATTGCAGAGATCAAAAGAAGAAAAGTTGTGTCACGAGAGATGGGTCTTCCGCTTAGTCAAATTGCTCTCAACCCAAGTAGAAAAGTGATGGGCTTCCAAACTCCTCCCTCGGCTTCTTCACCCAAACCCATTCACTAGCCCCCTTAGCTATGGCTGAAATTTTTCAAAGTGAGATAGAGTGGCTGAATGGGTTTTCCACATCAACAGTGAAATCAGACGTGAATGTATCCTTGGGTTGAACCTTTTGACCTTGCTTCACCCAAATGCCCATCTATGGTGAATTCTTCTTGAATTTTGACTAAAATGCTTGGTCTGTTGAAGTTGGATGAAATCTAGATCAACAAGATCTTATTGTTAAATCAAGACCAGCAACGTGTTATTCAAATGCTTTATTTTGAAAATTTAAAATTTAAAGAATAATGGGTAAAATAGTCTCTTCCATCCTTCTGTTAATGGACGCTAACGCCAGGGGAGGATTTAGTCAATTGTCAGAAAACTTGGGGGGGTACGTCGGGGTACTTTAAGAGATTTTCCAATACCAAAGCAAACAAAAACACAGAGATAACAAAGTCTTAATAAAAATGTTGTAAATAAAAGTGGGGAAACATTTTACAAGCTCCACAATATATACAACATAATACGGGGAATGAAAACCTTATAATTTTATTGTAAAAATATTAACATGACTACTTTATTAAAGCATATATAAATTTCTTAAATGGGTACCAAACAAAAAGCCCAATGCGGAGGTTTACCATAGTTAACCAACACTATAATAGTCAAAGCAAAGTTTACAACTCCCCCTTTGGGGAACTAGTCTCCCAAATAGAAGAAAGGTTAAAAGAAAAGTTTATTGTTCATTTCCTTGTGGAACTATTCCCAATATAAATGATTTCTTGATGCCCCAAGTTTACTTAACAAATCTGCTAAAGCATTTGTAGATCTTGGAACCTAGGCCATTGTGGCACCAAGAGTAGGGGTGGCCACGAGCCGAGTCAAATCGAGCTCGAGTCAAGTTGAGCTTGAGCTTACGAGTTTTTGACTCGAGCCGAGCTCAAGCCTCGTACTACCTTGAGCTGAGCTCGAGCCCAAGGTTCTAGCTTGAACCGAGCTTACGAGTTTTTGCTTGCCTTATTGCATGTGCACATTTTCATGGGCCTTTTTGATTGAAGTAACATTATAATAAAAATTTGATTATTGTAATATTATAATAAAAAGTAGATTCTTCTTCATCTTCCCTTCCTCCCTCCACTTAAGTAGGCTTACTGCTTACATCTCTGGCATTCTGAACTACACCTCATGCCTCCATGTAGTGAAACACCTAACATCATGTCTCTGCATTTTAAATCATTGAAAGATGCCTTTGGCTAAGGAAATATAAAAGAATCTTTGGGGCCTTGCTGGTAAAAAATAATGGCATCAAATCTTAAGCAACCATATCAATCAATAATGCCACATGAATCAATTGAAAATGGCCATAAAAAATTATTCCAAGAACCTTCCACATGGTAACTACTTTTGAGGCCCAACCAAAAGTAGGCTGGTTATTTACACATTAAATTTCAAGTGTGGGCACTAATCCACTCAAAATAGGCCTCGTATATAAGCTATGGTGTTAAGGCGAGGCCCCCCACCAAAGGTGCCCTGTCACCTAGATGACTGATGTAGGACAAGTAGTGAATTTTACAAATTTTAGATACGACGTGAGATTTGTGGGTGACGAAAGTGGTTGGGTTGACGATGAAGAATAGAGATGGAGAAGCCAGTAGACAGCTTGTTGTCCAGCAAGGATAAAACCCTTGCTATAAGGATAAACAACAATGAGTTAGATAACTCAAAAGAAGAACTAGGTGAGAAACAAGGTGATGAGGCCCAAGAAAAGAGAAAAAAAAAGAAAGACAAAAAAAAAGTGAATGTATTCTGTTTTGCATTTTTTTTGTAGTAGGATCCAAAATTATTGTTTTTTGGGTAGCTTTGTTGACAGTTTTGGTCCAGGGGTATTTTCGTCATTTTATAATTCAGATTCTGGTCAGGGATAGTTGGGTGAACATCTGTTGGGTTTTGGTTTCTTGGGTCTTTTTGAAACAAGAGTTATATTTTGGGGGTTCGTTTGAAGTTAGCTTTGTTTTTAATGAGTTATTTGTGAAAGGAAAACATTCTAGGGGCCCACTTGTAAATATCTTAGTGGGTTTCTCCTTCAAGCCATTGAGTCTTATAAAAGAGAAGGGGGCTGTTTCTGTAGGGGTCTTTTTGGTTCTTCCTCTCTTGTTTGTTTGAAGTTAGCTCTATTGCTGCATGTTCGCACGGGAGGCCAGCTTGATGTCATTGTGGCTGTAGTGGAATTGTTCCAGGAGTTCTACTTCAGGTTTAGGTCTGAAATCCCTAAAAATCTAACTTGTTTTGTTGGTTTCAGCTTGGTATTCCTTGTGCTTATTGTTGTACACTTTAAGTGTTGCATCACCTTTCATGTAATTTGTTTTTCAATCCACATCAAAAGGAAAACAGAGAAAAATACCTAGCAACCAGTTACTATTTGAAAGTTTATTGCATCAAATCAACTCTTCCTTTTCAATTACATCGACTCTATTTAGGGACAAAACAGGAAATTCGATCTCAGTTCTATGGACTCCTATTTGGATAGGAAAAATAACACAAAACAACTAATTATTTTGAAACCAAGACAACCACATAGGTAACCCACAAGGACAACTCTAATAACATGTTACTAATCCCACTAAAACTAACCTAATATACAAATCAGAAATTACAAAAAGTAGCAAATCAACTTTGTTATCGATAAAAGTAGTAAATCAATATTTTCCCTGTACCCCTAAGACATCTAACACTATAGAAAATAAATTTTAAAACTCAAAAGATAGAAATATTCCTACAACCAAAAATATTCTGAAATTAGTGTAGGAATCAGAAAACTTATGTATTTCTCAATGTTGCCTTGAAAACAATGTATAACATTTGACTTTTGGGCTGTGCTTGACCAATTTCTGCACACCTTGTCAAAGGCTTCTTTTTTAACTCTCTTACACTCAAACCTATGGTTTAAAATGTCAATAAATTTCCTAATACTTCCACAATATATTTCTATTTCCATGGGTACAGAAATGATATATTATTGTAAAATAATAAACATAATCCTTGGTGTATTGATATCTTTTATATCACTTACAACAAATATTATGTTGCTAATTACACCAATACAAGTTTTCCAATTTCCACTGCAGAAGAGGTAGACATAAAAAGTCATTGTTCAATGGGTACAAAGGTCAGCTAATGGCATGGCTGATGCATTACGGCATTAGCTAAATAAAGGGCGACCAGGAAAGAATTATATTAGGCTCATTTGAAATCTTGAAATCTGTTTGTGAATAATCCATACCTTTAAAAATGCATTCTCCTTGCTCAGTTCTTCCATTCCTCCAAGTCTGTTCTCCAATTCTGACTTTTGTTTAATTGATAATTCCAACTGACTTATAAGCAATACATTCTTCTTGCACTCACTAACAGTAGATGACTTAGCTGCATCCAACTCTGAACTCAATAACTCCAAACTCTTTTGAAGATTTGAAATTTCAATTGACTGGGCTTCTTCATTAGATACCTGTTTCCCAAAAAATCTCTGATTAATAGGCTTCTTGCAGATTACATATTAAGGTACCAGCATATGAGCAAATAACATATAGAACAGATAAAGATATAAAAAAATCATAACATAGGCTAAAAACAACAAATCTAAAATCCTAGGCACATCCAAGAATCAGCTATATCCTTGGGAACAACTTAAAAGTACAAGGTAAACATATCAATGGACAGAGTCAACCAAAAAGACCAGGACAAATCCAACTCTATTAAGTAGGGTTTAGGATCCCAAGCAGGTCACATTTCTGAGAGATTGGTTCTCAACCAACTTTTGTTATCCAAAGAGAATGGATTTAAGATCATTTTCTCTCCAATAATTTGATGCAGCCTAGGCTGCATTTCTTTTCTTTCTTTCGTTCTTTCTTTTTTTGAGCAGAACTCATTGGATTGGTATTAGTTTTAGCAAAATCCTGCCCATTAAAAACCATAATTGGCCACTCCTTGAATCCCTTCATATTTATAATTTAAATATACATCTATTGAACACTACCAGGCATGTACATGAGTGTTATCAGGTCAGATCCAATAGCCCAATTAACAAAGGCCTCAGTTGTACACTTGTTATTCCAGATACTATGGGTCCACATTGGAAGTTGGTATTTTATCTGCATAATTTTCATTTTGGTATTGGGTCTATCATGAGCCAACTGCCAACCCAGAGCTAATACATGGTAATCGATCTGGAATAGTAAGAGAAGACAACGACGATCACCTATGAGATTGAAGAGGCCAGTTGAGTAAAGCTTTGGTGTCACCTTGTTGAGAGCCTACAATCATGTATACCCCAGATAACTAGCCCCTAAAGAAAAAAGTAAATGAAAACCACTAATTCAACCCATTATTTTGAATTCCAAGTTCTACTGAAATTAGGTTATATTTCCACTCCAAATTATATACTCAAGGCTGTGTTTGGTAAGAATGCTAAAAGAATATTTATCAATTTAAATGAAAATTTGATCAAAATGTTGGAATGCAAACTTGGTTCGGTTTTGCATAGATAAATTTCGTATTGTGTTGTGATGGTTATAATGCACCAAGTCTCCAACTGAAAATTTCAACTTCCGCTTGCATGCATGATGCAACCCACCCCCTCAAGATATGGTAACATCCATTCTCTCATCCTAGGTTCCTTAGCAACTACTAACCATCATTAATTAACAATTATTTATAATTTTCATCAAAAAGTATAAACTTCATATCTAAATACAAAAAAAACAACATATTCATGAGAACAAAAAGAAGAAAATTAAATTCAGAAAATATACTGTTTTTGTCATAGGAAATGAAGAAAAGAAAAGGTGGAAGGATGTGTTTATTGGATCAGGTTTTCCAGTCTTTGAGGATTCAAGGCAGCATGCACTAAAATGTGTGTTGATTGAATATTTTCAGAATGAATATTTTAATAAACCCACAAAATGAATATTTTAATTTAATAATGTTATTCCACTGTTTTATTTTCAGAATATTAAGAATATAAAAGTATTTCACAGTGCCATGCACAATTTACATATTAGCTTGGCAATTAAGCAAGGCAACCCTCTGTTATACTTGTGCCTTGAATTCTTTGTCATGATCAGTTTCATGAATCCGGTCTGAATTAAGTTGAGAAAAACCTGAAGGCAAATTGTCATAGTGTTTTGTGGTGGAAGCGTCCCGCCACTAACCACCATTAAGGGTGCATGGGCTACGGACCCGATCAATATTCAGCTTATAGGTCCGAACCAAATACGAAAAGTTATGTATTTTGGGGTTCAGGGTTTTGTGAGTGGGGTTGTGAGTGGATTTCTGCTCCTCCTTTGCCCATGGATGTAGGCTATAAGTTGAACCATGTAAATCTGTGTCTTTCTCTGTTTACTTCTCTTTATCTCTATTTTTCTTTCATTTTTGGGTGCCATACAAATCTGTATTTCTGGGTTTTCCGTAACACCTTCCATGAGCACCTTGTTACCTAGGCATCCCCTTGACAACTATGCTTTTGTCATTGCATATAGGTTTGTAGATTTGTTAAAACATAACAAATTACATATTTTAACTGTTAAGAAGCTTTGATTTAGTATCCAGCACTGTATTGGGTATGTATTTTGTCCAACACCTGTACACTAGACATGAATAGCAAGTTTATTAATTATGCACTTTTTTGATAATCGAATGATAATTTCATTAATCAAAGAGAATAAACTTTTACAAGCATCCCTTGGAGAGGCGTGAGTGCAGCCTCTCCTAAACATTACAGGAATTCGAAAAGAAACCTTAGCACGAGAACTAAAGCATTGGTCAACCTACCCACCCATTGAACTCTAATTGTCATGTATCTTATTAACCATTTAACTTTTTTTATAAGACCCCTGTAACTCCAAATGACTGAATCTGGGTTCAACAACCAGCCCACAATCACCTTAGAGTCCCCTTCAAGTAGTAACTTCTCCACCCTAATCTGGATGGAAATCTGAATCCCTTGTACTGCAGCCAATAACTAAGCCCTTGTAGAATTACCTATTCCCCCCAGGCATAAAACCGAGGATATGATATTGCTCTCCTCATTTCTAAAGACCCCTCCTATGCCTGACAGTCCGGAGGTGTCAAAATTCAGTTTAGTAAACCCTTTCGGAGGTGTCAAAACTGCTACAGTTCTGATTTTCTTAAAAGAAGTATTAGCTTCTATAGCCTAGCTCCTCCAAATGTCATCAAAGGAAAAGGAAGTGAAAGAGCCTAGGGTTTTCAGCCATAGCGCTATTTAAGGTACACTCATTCACTGCTGAAAGGGTTCTCTCCTTGCCTTGGAAGATTCTAGCATTCCTTCCCTCCCAAATAGTCCACAAGGTGGCTGCACTGAAGAAATCATCTTCTTACTTCAGAAGCCACACACAGAAGCCACATATTGGAACGGGGTAAAAACTTTAGACCTTTTCCAGGAGGTGATCAAGGGCACGAAGTGTATCTATCTCCTGTGTATTGGGAAGAGAACTATCAAAGGTTTATTTGGGGTCCCTTCATCATCAATTCTTCATGTCAGTAAATTTGCCACCTAGTTTGGGATGAACGGTTCAACAAAATCCAGCAATCCCTTTGATTACATATTCTCATTTTTATCTAGTTATGTGTTCCATGACCTGTATACCAAGAAAATGATTGACAATGGTTGTAAGCTTGAAGGTCGTCACTTTCCAAATACAATTTCTCAACACAATCTGTTAAGTTATTCCTCTTGCATTGTCAATTGAATCATGTGACTGATCACACAATAAAGAAAATGACTTTTCCCAAGTTGTTCAAGTCTATCCATATGTTGAAAGTCCACTGTGAAGTTTGACAAACATTCAAGGATTGTAAAAACATCACTGCCAACCATTCTTTATTCTTCTTGTGGCAATAACAGTAAAACTTATTTTAAAACTAACCAAGAATAAAAAAACGACAAAAAGAGAAGAACTTTCTATAAAATTGCAACAAAGAAGTATTACCCTTAATCTCTTTTCTAAATGCAAACGCCATGTGAGATCTTCCAATTGCTTCTCAAGCTTACTCTTTGCTAATCGCAATGCACCAGCTTCATTAGCCTCCTATAAAACAAAAAAAAAAAAAAATCATCAAATCACACAATTAAAAACATTAATACATATAAGCAAGCAAAGAGAAATCGAGAGCAGGTTTGCTAGCCTGGTCAACTAATGAGTATTCCTAAATGACTCAGATAGTTTCCACATGGCAACATGTTCATAATCATATGGAGAGCAATTATCGATTCAATGAAAGACCAAAACATGGTCAGGATCCCACCACATGGCCAAAATAGGTGGGGTTGGGTAGAAAAGCTCCCTACATCCATATGCAAACAAATGAACTATAAAGTATATGAATTGCATGTGTATAGACGACTAAAGTCCCCTCTAACCAGTTTAAGCCTCCGGAGCTCTTTTCTTGCTAGTTTCCTTCTCCAAAGACATTGAATGGCCACAATAGACCTTTGATAACATTGGAATGAAGAGCGTGCCTTCTGCATCCTCCAGTGGGCCTATGTGATCATATGATCAGTAATGAAGAAACATCAATGCTACAAAAATTAGAGCTTCATAATCATATCCAGTCATACGTGATAAGTAGACTAGCAATAGCATAAAAGCAATGAAATATACTAATGCCATTAAATTTATGTGCATGTAACCGGTGAAAATTTCCATGTCAAGCAACATATACCATGACAGTTTCCACTAGTCATATTCATAGAAAATCCAACCACAGGGATGAAGAAACAACCAATAATAAATTTCAAATACTTAAAATGCAACTTTGAAACTTTAGCATTGTTTACAAAATCTTTCAAAGAATGAGAATGCATGATAGTCAAATAACTACTAGTATTAAAATCAATATTAACAATTCTGAACCATTCTATTGCATTTAAGAACTGCTACAAAAAACAATAGAATACAAATAACAAAATATCGATCAGTAAAACAAGGCTCAAATAGTTTGTAATTTAAAACCAAAACCCCCGAGATTAGGATCAGTAAACAGTACTAGAGTTCTTTTCGTTTCTCTATTTTAAAACTAATATCAAAACAGTGTATTTTGAAGGTAGGAAACAATACGGAAGATGTTAATGTCCATGATAGACAAAAGAACAGTAGAAGAGAGCAATTTGAAGGGCATCATGCAATCTGAAAATCAGAGAAACAATTTAGAAACTATGAAAAGGATTGAAGGATTCACTTTTCACAATCATTACAACGGCATTGCTCCAATTTGCATGACCAAAATGCCTAAGAAAACAAATCAAGCTCAGTTCTAGTCCTTAGAATTTAAAGGTACAAGACAAGTCCTGGCCTAATGATATAGGACCAGCTCAGCTCTAGTCCTTAGAGAACTGAGCTGTTGATGGCTGTAATGGCTGTTGATCAGAGTTTTATGGCTGTTGATGGCTGTAATGGCTTCTTGAAGGAACAGCTAGCATAAGTTGGGAATCACTCACAGGGTGCCTAGAATCACTCTAGGGCATGGGAATCACCATGGTTTTCAAAACCAGGCCGGACCAGACGGTTGGACAGGAAAAACCAGGAACCGGTCAGGTGACCGGTTCCGTCTTTTGTCAAAATCGGATTTTGGCCAAAAAATGTTGATTTGGTCAGCAAACCACTGACCCGGGCAGTTGAACCGTTTGAACCGTTCAACGGTTTTGATCATTTTTAATTTTTATTGTCAGAAGGGGCCGACCGTTCGACCCAGGAACTGGACCCCTGACCAGTTCGTTCTCCGGGTCGGTTTTAAAAACCTTGGGAATCACTCACCATAGCTAGCATAAGTTGAAGAAAACTCAATAAACTTCATTGCCTTTGTGTAAAACGTCCGTACTTATTTATAGACTCTAAACTCATAATAACCCTAGGAGTCAAACAGTTAGACTCAATAATCCTAGTAGAACTCAAACTAAGCTGTCATATCCTATTTCAATTCAAAGAAGACAAAATAGCTCTAATCCTACTTATGCAATGACTCTGGAATTTTAAACATAAACAAACTGGAACTAGACAAACTAAACCCAATCATTGGACCCCCACAGAAAATTGCAAAATGACAAAAATACCCCTACTGTCCAAAAATACAGAAATACATAAAATTTCATAAAATTCCAATTTTGCCTCTTCAGCTCCTGCATCACTTAATCTATCATTTCCTTTTTCTTCCATGTATTTGCTTGAAGAATGTAGCTCTGAAAAAGGATATCCAAGGGCCTACGAGCCACTTTAACCTACAAATCGAAAAATTCATTACTCCAGAATATTAAAGAAACCATCCATCAATTACCTTGAGACCTTTATAGATCATTTACGAATGTTAGCAATAGTTAACATCAAGAAATTTTCTGTAGTGTTGGAGCATCAAGAAATATCGTGTATAACATATCGTGTATTTTTGCTATAATGGGAGAGTACACGACCAGGGGTACACAGGTCTTTTTAATTGTGTATAACATATATAGTGGAAAGTGGCTGCATACAGTAAATCTCTCTCTTCTATCTTTCACTTCTCTCCTCTCTCCAATTACCTTATAGTTTTCACACTAATTTTTTATTTTCTAAGTTAGTCGTTTGGTAACCCAAACATGGAGCCAAAAACAAAACAATCATTAAATATGTAAGAAAAAAGGTGAAAAGATTGCAATAGCAGCCACAGACAAGAGTACCTGGATAACTACTGCAGCTTTATGCTCCTTTCTATGCAGAAATTTCCGTCTACTTGACAAACCTCGTATGGTCGATTGTATAGTTACAGCAGCTGAATAAAGTAGCAAATATGCACGGTGGAATAGCCATCTGCGTGTATACTTTTGAATTACAATAGCAGCTGCAGCTTCTCGTCTTGCAGCAAACATATTTCGAGCAAGGCAACCTGCAAAAGGGAATATGATGAAAAAAATGTTCCCAAACTTAAAAAGTTTTGGTAATGCATCAGTAAAAAAAAAAAAAACATGCTAGTACACCAATCAAAATCGCCCCTAACCAATATAGAACAAGATTCCATCCAAACAACAAGCAACATAACATTACCATCTATATAGCGAAAAGAAGGATTTCCAATACTAAACTTTGAAGTGAAAAGGATGAAAGAACTGTTCTCAAACTTAAATGCATAAGTAAAAATAAAAAACATGCTAGTACAGCAATCTAAATCACCCCTAAGCAATATAGAACAAGAATCCATCTAAACAACAAGCAACACAACATCACCGTCTACATAGCAAAAAGACGAATTTGCAATACTTAACTCATATCAGGTTTAGAAAATGGAAGGCCATGACATAGACACACTACATACTACAAATAGTGAATAAATCTCCAATTTTACATTAACAGAGTTTGAAGGTGTTGAGAAACATTACAGGCAGTCTAGTAATAGCAGCATGGATTTTAGGGCTAATGAAACAAAAAACCAACATAAAGAACAAGATATTCACCAACTTTAGCACCATTAGAAATAAACTATATGGCTGTGCTTATACACTAAGGCTTTACTGACACCGAACATCAGAATATGATTAAGTAACAGCTTCCAAAAGCTCAATTGAATTGAAGTGTAAGGAAAAGAAAAATGACAGATGAAACCTCTGCAGTATGCTTGCATGACAATGGCAGATTTGCGGATAAAGGTAAAGTCCCGGCGTGCAATAAATGTCCGTAATCGACCCTGAATAAGTTTCGCTGCATTATCCAAAACCTCAGATCTTCGAGAATCTAAAACAGCAATCTGACCAGCCCTAAGGAATACTTTGCTTCTGCCTAACTGCAAAAAATAAAAGCTCACCACAAAGGACATAAGATAATGCAACTGATAAACTTCAGTCCCTATACAAAAACAAACCAATAAGTAGTCAAATCATTCATCTGGAATTTGTAAAGTAATGAGTTGAACTTCCTAGACAGTTCTGGAGAACACATACTTGGAAATTTTCAAGTTTTAACTTCTGGAGAATTCTCTCTGTCAAATTCTTTTCATCATAACTGCAGAGTCAAAATTTGAAAGGTATTAAAATAGATTTCATAAATAAGAAATGGCAAGTTAGAACTTCCTAGACAGACCAACAAACCAAATAAAAAGTTTAACCTGCAAGCAGACCAGTAAACTTCTCTTCCAATGCACATGGAAAAATAGAAATACACAGCACTGAACAACAATCCCATGCTAAAATCACTTTAAGTGTTGTTACTTTTCAAGAAAAAATATTAGCTAAATTAAACTCCAAGAGTGGACTGCAGCATTTGACAGATTGCTAATACAGAAGGTTATATTTCTTGGTTGTTAACTTGGTTTTTGCTTGTATTTATGTTCTTTTTCTTTTGGTGTACAAATACAAGCAAAAACCAAGATAACAACCAATAAATATAACCTTCTGTAATAGCAATCTGTCAAATGCAACAGTCCACTCATTCAGTTTAATTTCACTAATACTTTTTCTTAAAAAGTAACAACACTTCAAATCTACATACTTTACACACCACCACCTGATAATTCCTTTCACCATATAGAGATTCAATGTTTTAAGAGGTATGCAAGGCATACACACCCCAACTCCAGGCAAGGCACCCTCAAAACATTCCTCGTATAGGAAAAAAAAGAAAAGAGAAGAAAATAAAAGATAAGGATAGGGGAGGAATCCTCAATTCAACTAGTCCTCACTCTGCACATTACAAAGAGTACACCAATTTAGGGCCAAGCACATAAAAGGTTTCTTCTTTTGCAGATAATCCAAAGTATTAATCTTACCACGGTAAACTTCCCAACAAAAAAACAGCTATTTTAGGGGGAATGGTCCAAGACCAAAGTCCTTTTGCAGATAATCCAAATTCTTCTGTAAGGTTTAAGTGGGTCAAAACAAACAGAATCAAGTAGAAGTAAAAGATCAGCAACACAAGCAGATTCCTCTTCCCTCAACCCTCTACAAAAGCCAAAATCCCAATTTAAGGACAAAGGGAGGACTAGGGAGGAAAGGAACCTGGAGATGGGCTCCATTTTAAAGAGGGAGATAGAATAAAGGGAGGGTGCCAAAGATTGGGAGGATGCCAAAGATTGCCTTCCATGGTGTTGTAAGAGTAGCCATACCTTACAAACATCTTCCCAAAAAAAGAACAAAATTACTAGAGCAAACACCATACCTTACAAACCTGAGGAACCTTGGGAGGATGCCAAAGATTGCCTTTCAAGGTGTTGTAAGAGTAGCCCGTCGAGATAACCCCTCATGCAACCACTTTCAGAACAACCATGGATACTAGCGACCACCTCATGCCACAATCTCTCTTTTTAAAGGCCATCTCCATAACTATTTGCCTAGTAGAAATCCATTCTTATGATCTAGGTTCCCCAATCCTAAATCCTCTTCTTCCTTGCTTCGACTAACCACCTCCCACATAACTTCTTGCTTCCCTAGAGGGAATCCTAAAGACAAACAAAAAATAAATTAGCAGATTGGCAAGTGTTGCCTTGATTAAAGTTACTTTAACCCCAAAGATAATTCTTTTTCCAAGTTGGCAACCCGTTCTCAAACTTTTCCACAACTGGATTCCAAAAGTGACTCTCCTTTGGATTAGCACCTAGGGGAAGACCTTAATAGGTCAAGGGCCACTCAAAGATAGGGCATTCTAAGCACTCAGCAACAGATTCCATCTTCCTGCCTTCCAAATTTAACCCCACCAAACAACTCTTCCCAAAATTGATCTTCAAGTCACCCCCCTCACAAAAAAATTATTATATAATCTGCAAACTGAAGATGAGTTACTGTGACTCGATTTCATCCAATTCTCCACCCCTTTATTAACCCAACCCTATCTGCTTCTAAAAAAAGTTGATCAAGCACATCAGCAACCGGTGTGAACAAGAAAGAGGAGAGCGGGTCACCCTGTCTTAGACCCCTACATGCTGGGAAGAAGTCATACCACCTGTCCCCAAACCCACATTTTTGTAATACCTCTACCAAGAAACTCCAATCCAGTCAATCATAGGCCTTCTCATGATCCAACTTGTAGACAAAGCCTTGATTCCCCGATCTGCTCATCTCCTCTACACATCCGTTTGCTATTAGAATCTAATCAATTATTTATCTACCTTGTACAAAAGCGCCTTGAGCTTGATAGATAAGGGAGGGGAGGACCTTTTTAATCCTCAAAGACAAGACCTTATCCTAAATCTTATAGATGCTAGTCACCAAGCTGATAGGTCTAAATTATTTAGGGTGTTTAGCCTCTTTCCAATTCAATTATGGTCTAAAGTTTTAGTGAAATCTGCTGTGAAAATTACAAATAAAAGATCTATCGTACATTTCTCTGCATTACGCACATATAGAACACTTTAACCTGTAAATAATAATGTTAGGACCAACATTGCATCCTCTCAAATTTGCTTCATTTTCCTGGGTTTTCTCAACCTTTTAGGGATGAAAATAAGAACGGAGCAAATAGAAAACTTAACCACCAATTTAACCTCAACTTTCCTCTCCATTAAGGTTTCCCATCAACAAGTTTATGGAATGTCATCTTACTATAGATCCTCTATTCTTACTTCTACAATCTTTACAACCAAATGCAGCATTGGTTCCACACCACAACCATTAAGAGGTTTGTGATTTAGAACTAAAAATATGTAAAATCTAACAGCTAATCAACACTTGTAAAGAAAAGTAATTAACCTAGAATGCCACTTGCCAAAGAATTATATGGAAAGGACAAGGGATATACAAACTGATAAAACCAACCAAGCCAATTAAGCAGATTGTTCACAAGAAAACATGAAGGCAGAAGTACATATGGTGCTATTAAAAAATATACCATCCATCCATAAGTTCTGGAGCTAAAATTCCAAAGCGATCCACAAACTCTGAATAAGTTCTCCGCGTAGGATATCCTGCAAGACTTATACGAACAGCCTCCAGAACACCCTGTAAGAAAAAAAACTACTATTAAATATAAAATTTATTAAAAAATGGAATCAGTGAGCACTAGTCAGAAATGGAAAAATAAAAATACAAGATACTGGAAATAATATATCACTTCAGTAGAACCAACATAAAAGGAAGGGGTGTAGAGAGAAGGGAGACGGTGGGATCTGGAGAGTACCCTGTGGGCTTAGGCAAGAAGGACACACAAACATCTTCGAGTTGTCCACCACAGGTGTACGAAAAATAATAAATAACTAATTAGTTTGGGATCTAACACTTGCAGAGAACTTCACAATGTTCTCCAAAATCAAATTTCTAATTGGCATGATCTCTAACACTTTTTTACGGATAAATGGTATGAACTCCAACATTTGTAGCTAAGTTCACATAGTTGTCCCAAAATCAAATTTCTAATTGGGTTTGTGTTGTCCATGGACACAAACATCAAATACTCTTAACTTCAAGAGTTTGAGATAGATTTCAGATGACTCGTGACTGTTAATGGGTGGATCATATTATGGTGGGTTTCAACCAGACTAAGGATGGGCTGGGCCAGATTTGCCAGTTTTCTAACACAAGGTTTTTCCAATAGAGGCCTCTGGTGGTGTACTGCTTTGACCTTCTATGTTTGCCCCCACCATCCACTGATAAAGTGCTAATTCCCTTCATCCAATGCCTAATTAAGCCCCTCCCAGAAGATGTCCTGGGAGGTAAAAGCAATGGCCCTATTGGGCTTGAAAGGCTTGATGTCCATAATGGATTCCTCCTTCATTAAGTGTTTCATCAGTTCTAGCACCTTCTCTAAGTTTGGATATGGCCTTGATACCAATACCACTGTAGCAGCCTCCCATAATGGTTCACAAGAACATTCACCAAATATAATATTCTCATTTGTGATGTATATAAAAAGGCCTTTCTTTTCCCTTCTCCAATTGTCCACTATTGGTGTCTGCCGCTGCCTAACCCTGACCTTGCTCCTCATCAAGTCATCAACTAATGAACTCTTCTAATGCAGGTTGATTACCCATCTTGTTTTTTATTAAGAAAAAAAACAAGGTGACAAGATATCGCCCACACAATTTCAAAACCCAAGACCCACAGGTAAGAGAATGAATAAGTGATCCAACTCTCCATGACAAAAACACACATCATACAAGGTTGACCCTGCATCTGCAGAACCCTTCTAAGCAGACTGTATTTAGTTAGAATTTTTCCTAAAGCAGCGGACTACAGCAGAAAGCTCACCTTTGAAGGAAAATAAGATAAGTCCCAATAGAAGTGTTTTTGAGGAAGAACAAGAATAAAGGGGATGATAAGAAAAGAAGACTGAATGAAATGGATAGACTAAAAGTTGGATGTTAAGGGGAACAAGGAATTTAGTGAAAGAAGGGGAAGAGTGAGAGGGTGTAAGTAGGAGGATCCTAAAGGAGGGGTAAGTTTATTGTTGGAATGGGTTTGAAAATAGTAAGCTGTAATGTCAGAAGGTTGGGAATCCAATAAAGGGAGCCACTATTAAGGATATGCTAAGGAAGAGAAGATCGGACATAGTGTTGATCCAAGATTCCAAATTGACTGATTTTAATAGGATGGGCTTGAAGTATTTGGAAAGTCAAAGAAATCAGTTGGGCTTTTACTCAATCTTGGGGATCTTCTGGTGGATTGATTACTTTGTGGAAGGATGAATTTGTTGTAGCAATTGAAGAACTAGTGGGGATATTTACTGTGTCCATTAAATTTTGACAAGTGAGAGATGGTTTTGAATGGATATAGACAAATGTCTATGGCCCAAATGGATACAGAAAAAGAAATGAATTGAGGGTAGAACTCAGTGACATCAGAGGGCTTTGGGATAGGCCTTGGTGCTTGGGTGGTGACTTTAATGCAATTAGGTTCACTCAAGAAAGCAATAATCTGAGACAATCTAGTAATATAAGCATGAGGAAGTTCAATCAGTTTATCAATGACCTCGAGCTTAAAGAGGAATATTAGGGAGGATCGGTTTCAAGAGCATTGCCTAGGGTCACTTTAGATCATTGCACTATCTTAATTGCTAAGGAGGAGCTTAGGGGTAGTGGTCCTGCACCCTTCAGATTTGAGAATATGTGGTGCAGCCATAGAGGATTCGTGGAAAAAGTGAAGGAGTGGTGGAAAGGAAGAAATCCAAGGGTCCAGTGGAAACACATGATGTTTCATAAGAAATTAAAGGAACTGAAAGCCAAAATTAAAGAATGGAAAATTCTATAGTTTGGGAAACTTGAAGATAGGAAGCAACAGATTATCAATCAAATTGAGCAATTAGATTCGAAAGAAAATTCTGGCTCTTTTGAAGAGAGAGATAAGGAAAGGAGATGATCTCTAAGGAAGCAATTGGAGGATGTCTTGTTAAAAGAAGAAATTAGCTGGAGACGGAAGCCAAGACACAAATCGATAAAAGAAGAAGATAGGAATACGAAATATTTTCATGCATTGGCAAATGGTCGTAAAAGGAAAATTTTCATTTCAAAGCTAGAGCTGAATGGTGAGTTCAACAAGGTGAGATAGTGAGGGTGTCAGTGGAACATTTCAAATCTATCTTTGGGAGACCCCTAAGTAGTAGCCTAGTAGGATGTGGATTAATGGACTAGAGTGGCCAAGTATACCAAAGGAAAAGAAAAGGTGACTGGAGAGGAGCTTTGATTTAGATGAGATCAAGGAACCTATTTTCTCTATGGATTGATCTAAAGCTCCTAGCCCAAACGGTTTCACAATGGCATTTTACCAAGATTGTTGGGAGATCTTAAAACATGATATCCAAGAAGTCTTTAATAAATTTTTAAGAAGGGTGGACATTAATCCTGCACTTAATTCCACTATCATTGCTTTGATCCCAAAGAAGGATGTTGTTCACCCTAAGGATTTCAGACCAATCAGCCTGCTTAACAGTTTATGCAATATCATAGCAAAGGTGCTTTCCCATGGGATAAGGCAAGTCCTCCCAGATATTATTTCCCCAGACCAACGGGAATTTGTAAAGGAAAGGCAAATCATCGATCAGTTCTTATTGCTAATGAGAGTATGGAAGCAATCAAAAAGGATGGGAGGAGAGGTTTAGTGTGTAGGCTTGATTTGGAGAAGGCTTATGCTATGGTGGATTGGGATTTTCTTTTGGAGGTAATGGGAAGTGTTGGCTTTGGAGACAAATTATGTAGGTGGATCAAGGGGCATGTTAGGTCTCGTCACTACTCTATTTTGGTAAATGGAACTATTGTGGATCATTTTCCTGCCCTTAGAGGAATTAGGCAAGGGGACCCTCTCTCACCTTTCCTTTTTACCCTACTTGCAGATGTCCTCGGAAATCATTGAGCAATTTTGAGGGCATTCCCTTTGATTACCTACTTAGGAAATGGAAGGAGCAGTGTTTTAAAAGCACAAGGGCCAATTTGCGCCTGAGGCGCAAAGCACAAGGCAAGGATCATGCCTTTTTAAGCAAGGCACGAAATTACAAAAATAAAAGCTAAAAAGTCAAAAAAATTCAAAAAAAATGCCAATTTAAAAAAAAAAAATCAATAAATATTAAACATAGTGTTAAATAAAAATATAAACATAAATTTTAAAATAAATATTTTAAAAAACCTATTATCTAAAATTAAAATAAATAAACATAACATGTAAAGCATATTCAACTGAAAATTTAAAAATAAAAGCAAACAAATAAAGCATTTTCAAGCATGTAAAACCCATAATCTCTTTTTTTTCCTTAATTGCCTTGCATCAAGTAGCTAATGTGATGTAAAACATATTGCATTCTTGATTTTATGAGTAGCCTAGGACCTGGGTGAGGCACATACCCCAAAATGTGCCTCGCCTGTGCACCTAGGCGCGCCTTTTAAATCACTGGGAAGGAGGTAGCAAACTCATCTTTATTTAAGTTTGTTATCAAAACAATTTGCTTCCCTCCTACTTCCGGATTTATTAAGCTGAACTTTGATGGAAGTAGTGAGGGAAACCCAGGCCCATGAGGCAATAGGTGTGTTTTTCAGAATGAGGAAAGAGTTATAGCTCTCTATTCTAGCCCAATTGGTTTGGGGCGACTCCTTGAGGGCAGAGATGATGACTGTGATGGAGGGAGTAGCAAAATAGTTGAACAACAGAAGAAAAAAAGGAAATTCAAATTGGTAACCTAAGGCATAGAAGTTAAACTTCAGTGGGTAAAAAGATGTGCTAATTCTTTTGTTGATGCCTTTGAAAAGCAAGAGGTGGGAAGGATCATCTTTTTTGGCCTGCGATATAACTTGTATTATCTTTTCTCCTCGAAAAAAGTTAAGAGAGTCTAAAAGGTGCGCCTCAGGGGCACAGGCGAGGCGCATTTCAGGGTATGCGCCTCGCCTAGGTCCTAGGCGCAGCCCTTTCAAAAGGTGCACGCCTAATGCACCTTGCGCCTCAGCCCAGACGTGCGCCTGATGCTCCGAGAACCCCCAATTTGGTAATGTTGTTCATTAATTCATCCTTTGTTTTTTTTTTTTTTTTGGTACACTGAAGGATGGCAGAGGATAAGTTGACCAAAGGTAGGAGGAGATGCCATTCAACCCAGGTTATAGTGTCAAGAAAGACCCACATTACCAACATGGCCAAGATGGCATCAATTGCTACAACACAGAACAACTAGCACCTAAAGATGAGATCAAATCTGCACCCTACAAATGCCCCACATGCACATCTCAGCGTGCAATGGGAACATCTCCCAAAAGTTGTCAGTGAGAAATGTTCCCAATACACGGTTGGGATATGCTGTGAGGCCTTTGTGAGGCGCCCTCTGTGGGGCACAGATGTGAATTCCAAAAAGAGATTGTTCACTATACAACACTCAGCAAAAGGTAAAAGAAAAATTTCTTAACAAAATATATTATACGGGCAAGTTGACTTGAAACTTATAAAAAATTCTCCGCAACAAGAAGCTTGCAATAACCTGAGCCTGAATACACCAGATAAGCATCTAAATTGTCAAGAAGAGATGATGATGATGAAGATGCCAATAGTAATGATAAATCCAATAAAACTTACCCCACACCGTAATTGATGTAAGACACTTTGATTCTCAAATATTTGGGGCCGATTCAGAGAGTTGGGCTTCACACAGCGAATATAATGAGGTTCCGTAGAATTTAGGGTTTCCATAAGCGCTTGCAGTTGTTGCTATAAACAGTGGAAAACACGCATACCACACATCAGAAAAACAAACAGAGACACAAACATATAGGAAACGAAAGTATTCATGCTTTTCATAGTTTTAATAACAAAGAATATTAAACTTCAAGTCAAGTTGATTGGTTTAGCAAACACAAATTTTTTATGGATGCAATTTTGCAAACAAACATTTTTCCATCCCAAGCATCAATAGGAATACCATTGAGCCACATTTAACAACAAAAATGAAACCAAGCCATAAACTATTCGACACAAGTTCAGAGATATGGATTGGAAACAGCAACAACCTCAAAAATACAGATAATTTCTATAACAAATAAGAAGAAAAAGAAGAAAGAAAAAGAAAAATCAAAAAATATAGGGGCTGAACCCATATTTCTGTTATAGGAAAAGAAGAAAAGAAAAGGTGGAAGAAGAAGAAATTGGTAATATAAACACACAAAATTAGTAAAGAAAAAGAAGAAAATGTGTTGATTTGACAACATTTTATGTTCTTCCTTACATATTGGTTCAGGTATTGAAGCCTTTGAAGTTTCAACACAGCATTTAGCAATGTTTGTGTTGATTAAACCCTAACAAATAAGAAAATAATAAAAAGAAATTAGTATATAAACACACAAAATGAATATTTTAGTTTAAAAATGTCTATTTTATAATTATAACCTAAAAAAATTGAATATAAAAGTTTTTTATAACACGCTATAGAAAACTGCTTGGCGATTAGGCAAGGCGAGCCTCCAAGGGTGCCTTGTCGCCTAGGCATCACCTTGACAACTATGTAACAAATACTCTACAGCAATTAGTGTATCCAGCAGAATAAGATTTAGGTGGTTATATTTCTCAAATTAAAATAATTACTGCATCATCAGCACACCATGAAGATGAAAATGAGAGAATGCACAAGAGTATACAAGTTGTACTTTCTAGATCCAACACTCAATACCAAAAGCTCAGAAAGTATAGAGCTTCGGTTGTCCAAAAAAAGCCCTTCACAGACACTGTTTAGCTACACTATTGGCAAAGGAATTTAACTCCCTAGGGTTCAGTTGGTCACACAATACTTGAATACTTATTCCTCAGCCAAAAGAGATGAAATCAATGTGTAATCAATTTCTCTGACCCAAATAGTTGGCTTCGGATTTAGAAACGCAATAGATCTAACGTATTCCATGAAATATTTTCAGTTCGACATATTATCGAATTACAATAGGAAGACAAACACGCTTATCTTCCAAGAGCAACAAAGAACCTCAAGAAAAGAAAAAAAGAAAGAAAACACACTATAGTTACAGCTTAGCCCAAAAAAGTGAATCCCTTTCTGCCCCTAGTTTAGCTAAACCAACAGCTAGGAAATTAGTCGATCTTTTAACCCAAAGAATCTTAACTTCCATCTCCCACACCAGCCACTTGAATTTCCTCCTCTCATTATTGTACTTCCATAAGCCATTGTGATCTTTAATCAGCCACCSTATCAMCACYTYTGAATCCCCTTCAATTAAGAGTTTCCTGATGTTCAACTCCTTAGCTTTCTGTACTCCTTCCATAACTGCAAAGATCTCAGATCTAAGGGAGTCACCCACTCCAATTGGGACTGAGAACATAGCAGAAATGACCTCATTTTCATCCCTAAAAGCACCCCCAATCCCCGATTGTCCCGGATTTCCCCTGCTACACCCATCAAAGTTTAGTTTCACGAATCCACTAGGTGGAGGGGTCCAAACCACACTCATTACTGACTTAGTCTGTGTGCAATTTGCAATTTCACCCCACTTCCTCAACATGTCATCCAYAGTGTAATCTGTGAAAAGCTCCAAAGATTTCAGCCACTGTACCGCCCTAATATGAATGATAACCCTCATATCTGCTGCTCCTCTCTGAGCTTCTGAGAATATCCTGGAGTTCCTTTCTTCCCAAAGTGTCCAACATACTGCAGCCCTTAGTCCTCTCCACATTGTCCTTCCCCTTTTTATCCGCCACCTGAAAAGAGAAGGGGAAAAAAGGCCTTGCAAGTATGATGGGGTATTCCAACTACATCCAAATAGGGACAAAGCCCATTCCCAAATTGACCACGCAAAATGGCAAGACACCAGTAGGTGAAAACCAGTCTCCCCACCCGCTTTACAAAGAACACACCACTGAGGTGACAAACAAGTATTGGGCCTCTTCTTTTGGAGTAGATCACCAGTGTTGATTCGTTCCAGATAGGCTTCCCAACAAAAACTACCAACCCTAGGAGGTATTGCTCTGCACCAAACCTCATCAACAGAAAAAGGAGGGAAGGTAGGACTGGTGGACTGACTTAAGACTTTGAAGAAAGAAACACAAGAAAAAATGACGTTGGGAGGAGGTGTCCAAATTCTAGAATCCGCCCTAGTGGGGTCTAAGACAATGTTATCAAGAATTGCAATAAGGCTCAAAATATTGTCAATCTGAGTCCCTCAAATCCCTTCTTAGACCCAAGTTCCACCCAATCCCAGAAGTGGAAGAGGGCGGGGTGGT